ACACATCTAAGAATAAGCCCTTCTGTGTATAGTGGGCACAGATAAAGCCAAGCAAAACTAATTGAAATTACCATTGCAAATATCCCAAACATCTTCAGAAATGTGGGTTGTAAACAAAGAGGTGACAGCAAAACCACCAAAAGAGCCTCTAGGAAAGCAAATCAGCCTCTCTGCTTCTCAGGGGTAGTGCCTGGTCTCTGGAGAGGGTATTTTGAGACAAGCCACCATGAAGACGTAATTAACATCTAAATTTCCCCACACTTCACCATGAGACACTTGACTTACATTTTATTCTCTTGAGTTTGAGATGAGTGAGGCCCCCAGTGGCTGGCCCTGCCCTGCCTTGGCTGTCTCAGCGTTTTCCAATTTCCTTTGCTCAGATTCTTGCTCTCTCCTCCAAAATGGCTTAGAAAGCTTGGTGAAGTTCTCATGTTTTTCACAACCGTCAAGAATCGAATTAGAGATGAGTCATTAAACAAGAGTGTATTATTTGTATGCTTATGTAGTAGAATTGCACACACATCTCTGTAATTAGCCATCAGCACCCCAAATTACAGCAGTAACCGTTCATTAAATGGAGGACATCACTCTGATCAAATCATGTATTCACAATTGCATTCCTTCTTGCTTAAATTTCAGAGTTTGTTGTCCAGATGGGCCTTGTTGGGCACCTAATTAGTACTTAATCAAAATCTCCTGCTGCTTCACAGCCCTCCTGGCATCCTAGCTGTTCCTTACGTGCTCCTTGACTGCATGGAGATGGAGCACAGGAGTTGAAGTAGAGGCTTTGTCTCCTTCATGCAACTGCCATACCTAAAGCTGCTTCCAAAATAAACTCAGCTCAGGATGCATTGGTTATCTGACTTCTGTGTACTGAGCAAAATGGGTCTTGCAAAGTGTGAGTGAAAATACAGCCATGCGTTAAGGGCAGCGAGAGACAGCGCCGTGTACTCTGAGATTAACTCACTGTCTTCTCTTTCCTTTCCAGATTTTGGCAATCATTTCCATCATGTTTATCGTACTATCTACAATTGCCTTGTCCCTTAATACACTTCCTGAGCTACAAGGCGTGGATGAATTTGGGCAGACCACAGACAACCCCCAGCTGGCCCACGTGGAAGCGGTGTGCATTGCGTGGTTTACAATGGAATACCTCCTGCGCTTCCTCTCCTCCCCTAAGAAATGGAAGTTTTTCAAAGGCCCGCTGAACGCTATCGATTTGCTGGCCATCTTACCCTACTATGTTACTATCTTCCTCACAGAATCCAATAAAAGTGTACTTCAGTTCCAAAATGTACGAAGAGTGGTCCAAATATTTCGGATTATGAGGATACTCCGGATTCTAAAACTCGCCCGGCACTCAACGGGTTTACAGTCCTTGGGGTTTACACTGAGGAGGAGTTACAATGAACTTGGATTACTCATCTTGTTTCTGGCTATGGGCATTATGATCTTCTCCAGTTTAGTGTTTTTTGCAGAAAAGGATGAGGATGATACAAAATTCAAGAGCATCCCAGCTTCTTTCTGGTGGGCAACAATCACCATGACAACAGTAGGCTATGGAGACATTTACCCCAAAACTCTTTTGGGTAAAATAGTAGGAGGACTGTGCTGCATCGCTGGTGTGCTGGTGATAGCTCTTCCCATCCCAATTATTGTCAATAACTTCTCAGAGTTTTACAAAGAGCAGAAGAGGCAGGAGAAAGCCATTAAGCGCAGGGAAGCTCTTGAAAGAGCAAAAAGAAATGGCAGTATTGTTTCCATGAACATGAAGGATGCATTTGCCCGTAGCATAGAACTCATGGACATTGTGGTTGAAAAGAATGGAGAAAGCATAGCCAAAAAGGATAAAGTGCAGGACAATCATTTATCTCCAAGCAAATGGAAATGGACCAAGAGAACACTCTCTGAAACTAGTTCTAGTAAATCTTTTGAAACTAAGGAACAAGGATCTCCAGAAAAAGCCAGGTCATCCTCAAGTCCCCAACACCTGAATGTCCAACAGCTCGAGGACATGTACAACAAAATGGCAAAGACTCAGTCCCAGCCAAACCTTATCACTAAAGAGTCCAGCCAAGCTGGAAAGCAGAAGGAAGAGCTAGAAATGGAAACCCTTCCTGGCCCCATGGTGCCGCTGCTGGCGACTCGCACGGACGGGATCGTGGACATGCGGAGCATGTCCAGCATCGACAGCTTCATCAGCTGCGCCGCCGAGTTCCCCGACCCCGCGCGGTTCCCGCACAGCCCGCTCACTGCCCTGCCCTGCAAGGGGGGCCTCGGCCTCGTCCAGGAGCAGGGCAGGCCGGAGGGGAGCTCTGCCAGGTACGTGGAAGTGAACCCAAGCTCCGAGAGCAGCCACCGCTCTGCTTTCTTCATTGACAGTCCCAGAAGCTCCATAAAGGCCAGTAACCCTTTAAAACTAAGATCTCTGAAAGTCAACTTCATGGAAGAGGACACCAGCACATTAGTACCAGCATCAAATGTACTGAGAACGTATCCAGACCCTCTCAAGAGCCGGGGAGCTGCTGCTGCTGCCACAGATACTTCCTTACTCTCTGACAGGTCTCTCATGAGCCCGGAAACCTCGATCTACACAACTGCGAGTGCAAGAACCCCCCCAAAGTCACCCGAGTCCCAGGCAGCCGTAGCTTTCAACTTCCACGATGCTGGCATACACAAATACATCGATGCTGACACTGACGATGAAGGTCAGCTGATGTATGACTCCAGCCCGCCTGGAAATGTGAGTCCCAAGTACAATGTTGCAAGCAGTGGCTATCTAAAGCAAAAGGACCATGTTTATAGAACAGAGAAGAACCATCTAGAAGCTGCTGCTTTACCCACCTCCCCTAAGCTGATAGGGCAGAACTGCATTTACTCAATGGAAGGTATCACTGGAAGAACCCAGGGCAATCAGGAGACTGTCAGACTAGAAAATCACATTTCCCCAGAAGTCCATGTATTACCAGGCAGTGGAGGACATGCTAACACACATGATCAAAGCATCTGAGGTGGGGTCTGAAAGAACTTACTGAGAGTTTAAAGGAATATCTTCACAGTCAACACAAACAAAAGAGCTTCTGCATGGCATGAACTTGGCTGAAACAAGCCACCTGTTTCTAAAAGTCTGGGGGAGGTCCAGTGTGGGTTTGTGAAAATGTCCTTCTCTGAAACAACTCTAAAGACATTGCCCACATCAGTCAAAAAAATGATTGCAAATCATGATCACACATTGATCTCCTTTCATGTTGTCCAGTGAAGCCAATGTGACCAAATATCCATCCATTGCCCTTGAACGCTAGAGCTCCTTTTGGAAATATTAACATCTGATTTGCATTAGTTCCATAAAGGATGCCAAGGCAGCCAGATTTGAACTCTGGAATAAATTGCTGGGGTTGGTATAAAGCTTTCAAAAACACAATGCTCACTGCTTCAGGGCAGCGGCTCCCCATCTGCAGCTTTCTCTGATGGATATTATGTTCAAAGGTAACAGGGAACACTTGCATTATTGGAAAATCCAAGCGAAAAGCATTTGAAACAATTAATGGTCTAGAGAAACCAATTCTTAAAATGCTCTTTGTGTGTTTAACAATCTGATATCCTGTAGGACCCGATATTTTCTTTTGAAATATTAGCAGGGTGAGTTGCACCACTTGTATCTGACTCCCAACACGCCCTAGGACGCAGTGAGACTGGCGCTTGCCCTCTGCCAGAAGCCGCTGGCTGCCCCAGGGCCACGCGTGGCCGGCAAGGCGGAGGAGCCATGCAGAAGCAGGAGACCCGGGGCAGCGTGGCCGAGCCCGCCCGGGGCTCCCCGGGGCCGAGCCGTGCCAACCCGGCATGAGCCGTGCCCGCCCGGGAGGAGCCGTGCCCGCCCGGGGCTCCCCGGGGCCGAGCCGTGCTAACCCGGGCCGAGCCGTGCCCGTCCAGGATGAGCCGTGCCAACCTGGGATGAGCCGTGCCCGCCCGGGAGGAGCCGTGCCAACCCGGGATGAGCCGTGCCCGCCCGGGGCTCCCCGGGGCTGAGCCGTGCCAACCCGGGATGAGCCGTGCCCGCCCGGGGCTCCCCGGGGCTGAGCCGTGCTAACCCGGGACGAGCCGTGCCCGCCCGGGATGAGCCGTGCCCGCCCGGGATAAGCCGTGCCAACCCGGGATGAGCCGTGCCCGCCCAGGACGAGCCGTGCCAGCCCGGGAGGAGCCGTGCCGAGCACTGCTGGGCCCCGGCCGGGAGAGGAGCAGGTTGGTCCGAAGCTTTTTGCGCCCAAGCAGCGCAGTGAAAGATATGCAAGTGTTACATAAATATGCAAAAAGAGGGATTCGTTAGTGACCCGTCCCAGGCCTGGCTGTGCTCCCTCTCGCCAGGAGAGGCTCCTGCAGGGCCGTGGCACCAAGCAGCTGCGAGAGGCAGGAGAATCAGGCCTGACGTTTTAGTAACATCCAGTCATTTTTAAATGAAACAAGAAGATAAAGAGGAAAGGGGAAAAAAAAAGAGATCTGACCATTTTAAGTGAACAGAACTAGCAGCCACCAGCCTAGGTTTTTAAAATATTATTGTTTCAATAAAGTTATGTCAAATTGCGTAGGAAATAATTTGTCTTTGGTTTTTAATCTCGGGGTGGGGGGGGAAAAGCACTTTATGTTGACTTTTTGTTGTCGTTGTTGCAATGCTGGAGTAGGATAGCAGAGTGTAACAATCAAGCACTTTAAACAAGCACTACTTTAATTTGTGCCTCTTGTTGTGACTGTGATTTGTTACGAGCCTGTAGCAAGTCACAACTCGTCCTGTGATAACTGTGATGGTAACCCTTTATGTTGTTCTCTGTTCCTACTGTAAAACTCCGTTGTGAATGACTCCGTCACTGAGCGTTTCCTGACCCGACCTGAGGTCCTGCCGGGTGTAGCATCTGCAGGCAGCGGGTCCGGGCGTGAGCCGAGACACGGGGCGTGGGAGCAGAGGGGCACGCGTGGGAGGAAGACCCCCGAAGCCGCTCGAGTCCGCTGCGTTTCGTTCCTTCCTATTGTGAAAAACAAGTGTTGGTTAGTCCTGAATGTAGCCGCGTGTCCGTCCCGGCCGTGCAGCGCTGTCTGTAACCCGGAATAGTGAATGCAGCATGTACGGACAAAAGCAATAAGCACATTTCTGTTCAGGAGCCAGGGCGGGCTGTGAGGATGGCTCTGCCCGGCGGCTCCTCGGCACCGAGCTGTGCCCGCGGCGCCCTGGCGGCTCCGCTCCGCCGAGGGAGCCGCTCGGAGCCCGGCAGGATGCGGGCACAGCCCGGCTGTCCCTGCAGGAGAGAGCGCAGCCCGGGCTGTCCCGGCAGGAGCGAGCATAGCCCTGTCCGGGCAGGATGGGAGCACAGCTCTATCCCTGCAGGATACGGGCACAGCTCTATCCCTGCGGGATGCGGGCACAGCCCGGGCTGTCCCTGCGGGATACGAGCTCAGCCCTGTCCGGGCAGGATGGGAGCACAGCTCTATCCCTGCGGGATACGGGCACAGCCCTGTCCCTGCAGGATGCGGGCACAGCCCTGTCCCTGCAGGATACGGGCACAGCTCTATCCCTGCGGGATGCGGGCACAGCCCTGTCCCTGCAGGATGCGGGCACAGCCCTGTCCCTGCGGGATACGGGCACAGCCCTGTCCCTGCAGGATACGGGCACAGCTCTATCCCTGCAGGATGCGGGCACAGCCCTGTCCCTGCGGGATGGGAGCACAGCCCTGTCCCTGCAGGATGCGAGCACAGCTCTATCCCTGCAGGATGCGGGCACAGCTCTGTCCCTGCAGGCTTTGAGCCCCGGCCGCTTTCCGGCCCCGCTCGCTCCCGCAGCCCGAGCGCCGCTCGGCCGGGCGGGCAGGCTGGCCAGGGAAATACAAAGTGTACTTAGAGGAACCGACGTGTTGCTGAGATACTGGCTGAGATCGAGTCGCCGCGAAAAAGTGAAAAGTAACTTTCCAGCTTTAAATACTGATTTATTCTGTGGCTTTCTGAGGCCACAGAGAGGCAACAAGAAACCTGAAAGAGAACAGTCATAATATAATCTCTGTGTTTCAGTGATCAGTCATGTCTGCCATCAGCACAAATGTAAAAAGAAGAAAAATCAGGGAATTTTTTTTTAAATAAAGTAATAGTGATTTCCAAGTTAAATATTTTTAGAGCTGATGCTTTCATGTGGAAAAAAAAGTCATATTTTACATGTCACGGAAGTGAACGTATTTAAATATAGCCATATAGTGTAGTATTTACCACACTCTCATCCAAACTGATGTATTTGGTTTATAGATGGCACTGACAAAAATGTATAAATCAACAATTCTATCATTTTTTTATCTGATAGTCAACTGGTGCAACTCTCCTTGTAACCAAAGGCCCTCTGTCTGCCTTGCGTGATCGCTCATGACACACACCTTATGTCATCTATTTAGTCCTACCTTTAAAGTAGCATTTTACTGAGTCACTTTTGAAAGTCAAATTCAAAAGTACCATTTAAAAAATCTTCCTTTTAAGTCTGAATAGCCAAAGTCCTCTAGATTTCTTATAGAAAGCAAATAATTTAAAATTAAGCATATAATATGCTTGAAGAGCATTTCTTTCTTATTTGTGTACGAAGATGTAGCTCTCATTTTGTGCCCAATTAAAAAGGAAATATGTTTAATTTATTTTAATGAAATAAAGTCTGACTATGAAGTACGTATCTATATATGTGTGTGTGTGCATAATACACATATATATGATGTAAGCACTGGGAAATCTACTCTAACCTAAAGCTGTGCTAGGCTAAATCTGTACTCATTGCAAGGGAAAGGCAGTGCTTGGAAAACATAATGCTCACCAAACCCTATAGATCCTAGAACGACAATCTAATTTTTGTTTGTTTGATTCATTTTCCCAAAGTTCATAGTGGTTGGGGAAAACAGGCAACATCTCCTGCACCGAGCTGAAGGGCGTGGATTAATCACTGATATTTGGCATTCAGGTCTGCAAATGTGCTGTGCACCAAGCAGCAAGCAAGCTGACAGAGCCTCACCTGCTGCTGCAGAAATCATCATGCCTGCAGGGACTCTCTGGACGTGTGATGTCTGCACTTGCTTGTGTCTTATGCCATCAGCATCACTTTTAACACATACCTACAAATGCGTGTATAGAACACGCACACACACACACACATATATATGTGTATATATACATATATATATGTGGAAGGAGAGGGTGCAGTTTTGTTAACCAGGAAGCTAAAGATTATTTGAGTTTTAGCCTTGAACAGAGGAAAAAAAGCAGTGACTTTGCAGTAGATTTCTCAGTGCCTTTTCTTAAAAACTTCACCTAAGCACACTTACGGAAAAAAAAAATCCCAACCCAAAACAAAAGAGTCTCCTGCGAAATCCACATTTTTCTCAACAGTTTGAGAGTCAAAAAAAGGTAGAAGAAAGGAAAAAAAAAAAAAAAAAGGCAAGAGAGAGGAAAAGAGATCCATGGAACGCACATTCCCCCCCTGAACACCTGCCTGGGCGAGTCACGAGGAACACCTCGGAGGCGGTCAGGTTGTTTGGCAACTGTGGCTGGGATAACTGTAGCCTTTTCTTCCCTTGCAGCTAATGAGAAACACATTTCTAAGGAAAACAGTATTCTCCTCTGTAAAACTGTAATGTATTGTTAATATTTGTACCTACTGTATATTTATGTCTTGACAGAATTGCGGCCGGTACAGTTTGTAGTAAATAACGAGGTTATGTAAAACTCATGGCAAAGTCGAGGTCTGCAAAGCCAGGTTCTCTCTGCTGGTGAGCTCCAGAGAGCCCCTCGTCCTGGAGCAGCCCCTGGGAAGCAGGAGGCGCCGGGAGGCATTCCCTGCCCTTCCCCCCGGGGCTGGCTCAGCCCCTCCGCTGGGCCAGCCCTCCTGCCCCATCCGGGGCACCCACTGGGGAGAAGATGGCTTTAAATGGTTCTTGAATAAAGTACAGATGTTCTACTTACCTCTGTACCTCCTGCTTGCCATTGTGTTGGCTCTATAAGCATCTGATGTATGGGAAAGTCATGTGACTTTCATGCATTCCAGAGTAGTCTATTTTTCTGTTCAGATTTAAAAACATTATATATATATATATATATATATATATATAAATATAAATATATAACTGTATTTTTAGCAAATTTATAATAGGGCAATCAAGTCAGATTTCTTCTTTTTGTATTACAGAATAATATATTAGATGCTCCCTCAGTGTTCATTTACACAGCTGATCCCCCAACCTTTTTGTTGTTGTTATTTTCTTTTTTTCTGATGAACACCTGCAACATTCCTCCTGGAAGTGCATCTGTGAAGGGTCGTGGGGTTTGTCTGATGTTGTCACGTTTTCGTATTTCCTGTTTGTGGTACTTTAACCAGGGACTGGCTGTGGGAACTGAGATGTTCCTGCTGAGAAGCGTGGAGCAGACCAGACTGCCCTTGGTGACAGCAGAGGAAAGGTCACCCAACTCCACTTTCTCCAGATTTACATCAATTAAGCTGAAAACAGAAAGAAGAGACAGGTTTTGAATCTAATTGTCCTAATAGTGACGTGATGGAGTTGGGATAAACATCAAAATCTAGGCTCTTACTCAAGGCAGTGACCTGACAATGCTCAGGCACCTTCAGAGAAGTTTTTCCTGGATTAAAACAGAAGTGTCCAGACCTTCATTTCCCCCTGGGTTTTGGAATTTTTATTTTTGGTCCCAGAGAAAATCAGGAAATGAGAAAAAATTGTGGAGGAATGAGAAACATAAACATTCAGAAAGGGACCAGATTTTGATTAATTATGGTAAAATCTGTCCGTATTCCTGCTTATGTAACGATTTCTTTGCTCTTTGTAGCTGAACTCACAGCTATATTCAGAGGAATTTAGTGAAAAGCCCATGAGATAATGTTCATCCTGAAGCTGTCTCGTGGCCTGCTGAAGTTCAGCAGGATGAAGAGCTTCAGAGCCACTCTAGCTCTGCACAGGCATTTCCTTCTGATCCAGCCCAGCAGTTTGGTCAGTGACCAAGCTTTTGCCAAAGATGGAGTTTTGGTTCCATTTCCTTTGTTTGTTTATGAGCTTTTCTTACGTGTCAACTGTAATAGCCAATAAACCTGAAACAGATGTAGTTTGGAAAGGTGTGTGTTTCAGAAAGTATCCCTCAAGTGAAAGGAATAACCAGCAGTTTAACGTGTGATTATCAGCAAGGCCTGTTCACAAACGAAGGCATTAAAGTCGAGTGGGATTTTACTTTCCTGGGAAACAATTAATGCAATAGGCTGCCATTTCTATTGTCAGCGATCACATTGATCCCTTCAAAAGGCACCTTCCATGTCAGCAGGTTTGTCAGAGCACAGCCAACAAAACCCTGGGAAGCTTCTCGTCAGACCACTCTTCCCTTTGCCCTCCCACGCAGGACAGGAGCGGCCCAAACACCACCCAGCCCTTTGGAGAAGAAATGTTTATTTTCCAGCCTGCATCCCACACCCCATGCTGGTCACATTTAGGCTCTTGCACTGAAACTTTGTCTTGGCCAGGCAAAGGAAACCTTAGGAAAATGGAAATTCTGCATCCAGGATGTGTATCCCGTTCGTTGCTGGTGTTACCTAAGCCACAATAAGTGTCCTTTGACACCAATGGTTGGGTGCCACAAGTGTTCATATCTGTAAATACTACTCTAAATTTTGCTTTGCTTGATTCTGGCTTCATTGCACAAGAAGTTTTCAGTCTTAGAGGTTTAGAAGAGCAAGCAAAACCTTCCTTCTTCCATTTAACTAGAAGTAATACTGTTGAAGCTCTGTAGGACTGAACAAGGATTAGCCTTTATTTTTAAAGGGGTCTTTCCAAGACTGCCGTGACACTACCTTCAAAAATTAATAATAAGGCTGAACTCCAGGCAAAGACCCCTCAAAACTAGAGCCTCATGAAAGCCAGGGAGCCAAATTTGTATGAAATGCCAAATTATTTGCTGCTGTAAGTTAAAGCCCATTGAGGCCAATGGAGATGTGCCCCCTTTAGATCAGTAAAGAATTTGGACCCATATCTCTAAAAGCTAATGGAAAATGCATAGCTTTGTCTGACCTGAGGGCTGGAGGTGTCTGCCCTCAGCACCTCCTTGGAAAGCAGCGGGGTGAGGGAATGGGAAGCAGGGCAGCTCAGTGAAAGCCTGGGAAGGGGGAATACTCCAGGCAAGAGGGTGGCAGCGGCCGCAGGCGTGGCTGAGCATCCCTCCCGCAGCTCGCTGCCCGTGGGCTGGGTGCCACAGAGGCACCCCGGGCTGGCAGCTGGCTGGTGGAGCAGGTGTCTGTCCCTCAGCAGGACCCCAGCCCCCAGGTCAGCACTCTCTGCCCTCAGCCCTTGCTGGAGCTGGGGGACACTGCCAGAGATGGGCCACAGTCACTGTGAATTGTGGCACAACTCCTGGCCCTCTGGTAATCTGCATTTGAGAACATTCATCCGTTCTTCTCTACTCTGTATTTTTCATTTAGGAGCTCTGCCATTTATGACTCTTCTTCCTGTTATGTTTTACTGCCTCCACATACTGTTCACCACACGTTGGCTCCCACAACCCCTGGGATTTGTTTTGTTTATGTCAGTTTTGTTGGCTTGTGAGGAACACTTTCTTTCCCCGCTCTGGCTTTTTGGTGGTCAGTGCAGAAAATGACTTTTGCATTGAACCATTCCCCACTGCTGTGTTTGGGGGGAGGGTGGGGGAGCAGCATCTCCATTTTACTTCCAATTTTGAAGCCATGGTACCGTACTCAGAAAGGCCAGCCACAGCTACCGACCAAACTCGCTTTCCAACTAGATTAGCGTTACGAAACACGCCCCACTTCCCGCAGCAGACTCCTGCTCTCTCGCCAGGCCAGTGAAGCAGTTTGGAACAGGGAGGAAGCGTCAGCATCGGCGCTGCTCAGCGCCCCCCCCGAGCCGGGACCAGCCCAGGTCCCCCCAAAACCCCAGGACCTGGCAAAGGCTGCCCGGGGACATCCCCAAAGGGCAGCCACGGGCATCCATCCTCACTGCCACAGGAGAGCTCTGGGGTCCTTTTAAAAAAGAAAGTGATACTTAATGGCAAATAAAACTGGAAAAGCTGTTTCCTGTGGCTCTGCTGGTACATTTGGATCAAATTGCTTTTATAGCTGGAAACTGAACCTGACTGTGCCCCTAAAGGGCAGCCTAGGCCGGTTTCTCCATTGCCTTGCACAGTTGTTTTTTAACCTGGGCAATGGGGAATCAATGGGGAGCCCAGCTCAGCGTGGCCGTGAGGAGGGCAGTGCTCCAGATCCTGCATGTCTTGCACAACCTCTTCATTGGGTTATATTGGAATTCACTCAATTATGTTGGGCCAATGCACCAGCAGATGTTTTCTTCCCTTTTAAGAAATGTTTCAATGCCCTGGCACTTTGGGGTGATTACAGCAACATTAGCCATATACTAGTGTACTTAGAGTCTTACATTTTTTTGTAACTTTGATTTAGTCATTCTTTGTTGAAGTTTATTGACCTCTCCAGTTGTTTCTGTAAAACAAATTATTAAAAAAAATCCGTGTCTTTATATGCATGTAATAGTATGAAACTGTGATCAATGTGTGACATTCAGAAACTGTTCTGTCTTGTAAAATATGTCCAAATGTCTAAGGGTTTTAAAGCAATGGTCCCTTACTACAGCCTACAGAAATAAATAAAAAGGAATGGAAAAACCTGAAGCCTTTATTGCTCTCTTTCATGGTCACATGTACTGGCCAAAAATCTCACTCCTCTCCTGCTCCAGCCCACACCCCCAGGTACCTGTTCTCTCTGGCTCAGTCAGAAATAACCTCACCAGCTCTTCCTTACCCCCGAAGGGATTTTCCTGTGTTGTTCTTATTTAGGTTGAGCTAGGAAGCTTTTTGGTTTTTGTTGCACACCATCCTCTAAAGCACCTACAAGCCCACGATATCTGCTATTTGAGCCCCCAGAGCAGGGTGATGCTGCCTCACACCGAGCCGGCCAGCAATCCCAAAGGGCGATCCCAATGGTGATCCCAATGGGTGATCCCAATGGTGATCCCACAGGGCGATCCCAATGGTGATCCCAATGGGTGATCCCAATGGTGATCCCAAAGGACGATCCCAAGGGCGATCCCAATGGGTGATCCCAAAGGGCGATCCCAAAGGGCAATCCCAAAGGGTGGTCCCAAGGGTGATCCCAATGGTGATCCCAATGATGATCCCAAGGGCGATCCCAATGGTGATCCCAAAGGGCGATCCCAAAGGGCAATCCCAAAGGGTGGTCCCAATGGTGATCCCAATGGTGATCCCAATGGTGATCCCAATGGGTGATCCAATGGTGATCCCAATGGTGATCCCAAAGGGCGATCCCAATGGTGATCCCAAAGGGTGATCCCAATGGTGATCCCAATGGTGATCCCAATGGTGATCCCAAAGGGCGATCCCAAAGGGCGATCCCAAAGGGTGATCCCAAAGGGCGATCCCAATGGCGATCAAACAAAACCCCCTGGCGAGGGAGGGCACTCCCAGGACCGGGCTCTGAATCCCAGCAGCTCCCCAGGCCCTGCTGGGGCCCAGCCATGGGCTCTGAGCTGGCTTCTGATCCTGGCTTCAGTGAGCCCAGCAGAGCTTCTCCAGGGCTCAGCTTGGCATGCAGGAAGTGCAGCACAGCCCTCTCTGGGACGTCACTGCCCTCCCCAGGGATGCTTCCACTCCCACCTAACCTCATCCTGAGGAACCAAACCCAAAGAGGATCTTTAGGCATTTCAGCACAGATAAACATGAAGAAAGAGTCAGCTTTTCAATACATTTTGATCATTTCAGAAGAGAAAGTAATAATATAAATAATTTACAAGGGATTTATAAAATATGAATTAGATTCTTCCATACGGCCTCCTTCTACTTACTTACCTTCCTTCCTACTTTTTGTAAGGAAACTGGGCTCCTAAGAGATGCAACATCATTATTATTCAGCAAGCAAGAGCATTTAGAGGTAACTTTGCCCCGGAGTATCATTTTCAACCATCCAGGCACAAGCTGAGGCTGATGCGTCACAGCAATGAAAGTTTGTGGTTTCTGGCTGGAAACACAAGTATTGAGAATTAACCTGAGTCCTGAAAAATAAAAGCAAATAGGTGCAACGCTGCATCATTGACTTTAATCCTTATATAATTAAACAATTACCCACATTGCTAATAGAATTTTTTAGAATTTTATCCTGTTATTTATATATATATAGATCTATATACATTTATTTATATATCTATTTGTTTTATAGATACCTATCTATAGATATATAAATCAATGGAAAATAGATTTAAATTTAAAAAAAAAAAAAAGTTTACACTTTGCTATACCCAGTACCATTTTTCTAATGCAAGCAGACATGGTCAGTAATAATTGAAGCTAAAATGAATTGGTCTATGTGCAAACCCAAAATTACATAATGTAAAATGCTGTTTTCATGCCTTGATGATGATTAGTCCTAAAATGAACCACACAGTGATGCAGCTTTTAGCACTGTCCTGAACAGAGGAGAGGCAGGTGCTTGGGACAGTGGGATGAAGATTGATCCAGGCATGAGAAAGTGTAAATTAAGAGCCATGAAGCTTGCACACAGCTACCAAATAACTATACAAAGTGTTTCACTGCTTTCCAAAGGTCTAATTGACCAGAACCATCCATGGCTTTCTCTGTTTGTTTTTCACATCAGCTATTTTGGTTTCCAGTAACATTTTCAGACAAACAAATACTTCTGAGGCATTTCAGCGTGGAGGAGAATGGCTGCATGGGAAAAGCAGACCACCAGCTGCTCCCCTGGGAATCCAGCAAAAAGGAACAGTTGATTTCTTATTAATGTAAATGAGCTCGTTATCTGGGCTGCTTTCAGATGGAGTTCAGCAGTTCAGAGCCTCTATTCCAGGAAATACAGAATTTACATAACAGAAACGAAGAGAAAGTGAGGGAAGGATTTTGTAAGTGCCTGTTTCCCAACTAAATACTTTTGCTATTCTGGTGTCAGGGTGGATGGGTGGAAGCTGAGATGGGATCTGCTGGGCCATAACCCGAGCTGCAGGAAGATTTTATAGACACTGAGGTATTTAAAGAGGATTTCCAGGACAGCAAGACCCCATACTGTGTTGCAGCTTTATTAATATATGCCTACATGAGGAAAAGTTTGTGCAACTCTCCTAAATTCCAGAACAAACTCACCCAACAGCATTTCTAGGAGTGCTCTGTAGAGAGCAGAAAGCTTTGAGGACAGGCAGACCTTTCCCCCAGGGCTGCTTTGGTGAGTTTCTGTGGTCATTAGCCCGGGGCTGGGAGTGCCTGAGCTCTGCTGCTGTGCTTAGCTGAGACCCTCTGCTCCTGAGCACCCCTCAGGAAACACACACCTGCTTCACTGCAAAAATTTATCAATAATTTATCAGCGTCAGTCAGTGATCTGAGACCCACGTGGTGTATTCAGCAAGGTAACTAAGAGTGTGGCACCAGGTAGAAATATAATTTAATGGAAAAAAAAAAAAAAAACCCACAGAGTGAGAAAGAATGAGCAAAAATACATTAATCCTCCCTTATCTTGTGTTACACAGGAATTATTGGTTTTATTTCTTCCGTAGACCTTTTATTAGGGAATAAAACCAGAAGTCTCTCACTCTTTCTTGCCCAATCCCTGTTCCTCACCCTGCTCCCAGAACACATACCCTGTTCCTTGCCCTCCCAGGAACAGTTCACCTGCACAGCATCACCTGCACAGCATCACCTGCACAGCATCACCTGAAGAGAATCACCTGCACATCACCTGCACACCTTCACCTGCACATCATCTGCACCTCACCTGCACATCTGTCTTGGCAATGAGGGGTTTTACAGCAGCTGAGGCTGAGAGGTGCCACTGCCCAAGCCCAGGTCGTGGAATGCTCTCTGCTTCTGAAAATTAATTAATTCTGGATGGCCAAAACAGGGTGCAAGTGACCCCCTCCAAGGCTGATGCCAAGGTACTTATGCCAGGAGGGGCTGGGGATATTCCCTGGGGTATTCCCTGGGAATATCTGGGATATTCCCCAGACTTACAAATCTCAGGCTGCTGTTTTAACTACTAAACATTCTTCCAGGAGGGGGAAGCTAAAAAACCTCTGCTGGAATACTGAGCCCACACACCGGACATATTGAGTCTGTCTCTCCTGTTGTGTATCTCCCTCACTCACTCTCCCTTCACAGAAGAACCTCCCAGAAGATTTACCAAAGTTTTTTTCATATCATTCTCTGCCTGGAACAAGAATTTTCTCCACCATGGGTGACAAAGCCTGGTATCTCTCCTTTCCTGGCTGTTACTTAAGGTATAAGATCCATATCCCCAACACAAACCATGCTGGGACTTCTAATTGGGTTTTCCTCCCACTGTAACTCCCTCTGCCATCTGTTCCTCTTTTTCTCTCAGATGATGCATCCCTCAGTCACTGAGCAGTGCCACGGCAAGCCACCCAACCCTGGAGACTCTGCCAGAGCAGCACCTTCCCTCGTCCCTGTGCCCCAGCCTCAGCTCTGGGTGGGAGGTGGGACCCCAAACCCGGGCAGGGAGGGGATCATGAGCTGCTGGGTCTCTGCATTCCAGCCCACATTCCTGGCTGGGCTTTGCCTCCAGATTTGCCATAGGATTTCTTTGAAAAGGAGGCAGATACCCCAGTGCCTCTGAAGTCCAGAGCAAACCTGGTTTTAAGCAGCAGCAGAGTTATTTGACCTCTGACACAACCAATTTTTCTGCTTAGTTGAAATCGCCCGTCCCCAGCTAACAAAGGGCTCTGGAGCCTCTCTGCTGAGATAATTGGTAGCCCCAGGCTTCAATAGGATCCAGGAACTGCTTTCCACTGCTTCATCTGGGGAGGCAGTAATCTGTTGGAAACATGGCAACTTCTTCTGGCCTCTTTCCAGACCTCCAGTCATGTTAGAGCTGAGCTACAGCAAATGAAAATACATTAGAATTTTAAAATGGTACATAAGTGATTCTTGCTCATTGGGAAACTTGAAGCTAATGTTGCCTGCAGCTCATACTAGTGTTTTCAGAAATAATTCATTAGCTGCAAAAATCTTCTCTTATTTCTTGGGAAATGAAACAAAAAATCAGCTGTTTTACTTTCCCTGTGGATCGCTTCCTCTCCATCTCCTCAGCACTCTCCAGGCTGCAAGGCTGAGGCAGGAGCCCTTAGAGACCGAGGAGAGGCAGGTGAGCCCCCAGCTACCACAAGATGTCCCTTCCACCAGCCCTCATTCTTTACTCGTGGGTTTCGGGGCCCCACCTGGCAGGGGAGCAGCAGACATGTCAGAGGTGGCTGCTGGAGCAGCCCCAGCAGGGCTGCAGGTGGAACACAAGGACGGGCTGGAGCAGGGAGGCTCCAGCAGAGACACACGGCACACCAGCCAGGGCACGCGGGGAGAGCGCCTGCTTCCACCCCAGTCGTCCTTACAGCCCCATTTTTCATGGGGTAAGGAAGACCCAGGAAGAGTTTTTTCCTCTTTTTGGTCCCAGAAGGAAAGCAATACCTGGAACTGAATGAGAGAGCAAGAGAGCAGAGTTTTGTAGATTTTCTCTCAAAGGAAATGAGGTGTTGAAGTCAAGCTCCACGTGCCAAATATTTCAGTCAAATATTTCTCATAATGTCTGAGAAATACAAAACTAATTTTCTCGTAATCTCTGTAAGGCTCTGGAGAATTGAAGGCCTTTCTGAAAGTGGTGAAGAGCACCAAAAGCTCTGAACTGACTGCACAGCCCTGGCTCTGCACAGGAGGGGCCCAGCTCTCCAGGCTCTCCTGGCTGCAGAAGGGAAGGGGCCAGACAGAGTGGGAGCTTCTGCCCAGCTGGCCCACCACACACATCTCACCTTTGCTGACAAAATTAAGGCATGCTCTTTTTCCTGGGGTGAGGAATTGAAACTTCACCATGTAAGCAGAACCTGAGAAATGTGTGAGTGATTTGGTTTCAGTCTGAGAGCCTTGGCCGAGCTCATGCCCAGCTCAGTGAGTGCTCTCGGTGCCATCTGCACCGAGCCCTGCTGGGGCTGCTCCTGCAGAGCCCCTGGCACACACAGAGCCCTCTGCTCTTCCTTGGGGTGCTGTGCCCCCCTAGGCTGCTGTGCCCCCTCCCCACGCAGCAGATGTGTCTGGTGGCTTCTGGAGGGGAACTCACTTTTTCTCCTCAGTGGTTTGACACAGCAATTAGATTGGGTTCAATTGCTGGGACTTTACCACCTGTGCTAATGGCCAAAATTGCTTTCAAAGATAGATTGCAATGTTTGGAATTTGCAGAGAGATTGCTATCCCTTTTAATTACATTTTCTGTCTCTGATGAGACAATTATAAGCATTTCAATAGCTCCCAGTCATCAGCTTTCCACTGTATGAGAGCACGGGAGAAAAAGGCATCCTGGCCACCCCCTTTTCTCTCCTCTCCCACCCACTGAGATCTCTGAGCAATTCACAGCTGTGTTATGTATATTCACCTCCATCCTGGCAGCACTTAGGCTGCCCAAAGCCACTCCTGGAGCCACTGCACTGTCCCAGCTGCTGCACCTGAGGAGCAAACCCCAAGTCAGTGACCTTCACAGGGCAGCACACGTGCACGGAGCTGCACGCCCCACTCATGCCTCTTTCTCAGCTCAGGTCACAAGTCTGAAATCACAGATACTGTCCCTAGCGTGGAGAGGAATTGTCTCAGAAGCAGGAGCAGCTCAGGAGGTGCCTGCTGGACCAGCACCAGTCTGTCACTCCGGTGATCCTCGCACAAGGGTCAGTGACTTCAGCCTTAGAAACTGTCCTGGAAAATGAACTGGAAGCTCAGGCTCCTGCTATGTGGCACCTAAGCACAGAAGGGCTGCTTCCTTCCAGCTAGAAATCCTTTCTGCCCTTGAAACCAGAGCCTTTTAATCTAAGCAGCATCAAATGTTGTTATTGTAAGATTGCATAGCTCTGCAGATAAATACTGCATTTAACATTCCCCTGTAATGAAGTAAAACTCTCTGGTCAAGAATGGAGGTTTATTTAAGGCAATATAAAAATACTGCCATTAATCCAGGATGCTGCTTGTACCCTACAGAGCAGGATGCTGGAGAACAGCCGTCGTGAGCAGGATTGATGTAAAGGCTTCCCCAAGTGGAGCTGTCAGGAGCCACAGGGCACCTTACACAAAGAGATGGCACACAGATAGAAATGTAATGCACTGTGGTGTCTGCAGCCCCGTGCTCTCCAGCCAGCAGAGCACAGAGCAGAAAGAGCAGGAGGAAGGTGAGAACTTGACCAAGATTCAGCTTCAGGAGCAAGCAGAGTCAGAAGCTCTCAGGATGCTTGCCCAGCCCTGTGCCCCTCTTGCCCCACACACCACAGGGAAGATGCACATTCCTGGGGCTGCAAACACCACCCACACTTGAGATTTCTGCACTGAGATTCCTTCAGGATTAGGGTCGCAGTAGCAGGGCCCGGCGGAGCCGTCGGCCGGCGCTCAGGCAGGCGCGGTCGCGGCCGGGGCAGCAGAGCCCGCGGGCGGCGCAGCCCGGGGCGCCGCGGGGCAGCGCCGGCGGCAGCGGCAGCAGCACCGGCAGCACCTGCAGCGCCGGCATCACCTGCAGCTCCTGCAGCACCGGCATCACCTGCAGCTCCTGCAGCACCGGCAGCCAGCGGGCGCGGCCGGCCATGGCCCCGCTCGCTGCCCGGCCCCGCTCGCTGCCCGGCCCGCTCAGCGGGGCGCGGTCCCGGCCGCAGGTGCCGCTCGCTCCGCCGCCCTCGTCTCCTGCCGGCTGTGCCACCCCACTGCCCCGTCTGTGGACTCACCAAACCAAAACTCTTCAGCGCTGGCTGCTGGCATTTGCCCCCCAGATTATCGACACGTTATCGTCAAAAGCTGATGATAGCGGAGACCAACTTTTTTTGCCGGATTTGACTCCAGCATACCTCAGGAGCCATTAAAAATGGAAAGTAATTTGCTGCCAGTACAGCAGCTCCTAAGGACAATGATCCGGCTGGCTATGCTACCTCTCTACAAAATTACCCTGAATTTTCTTCTTAATTCGAAATGCAAGAAGCTTAGAGAGATTACAGCCGCTCCTGTGAATTATTTAGCTATTCAGTACAAAGCAAAGGGCTTTACTGTAACTTTTTAATCAAAGAGGCTTGCTCTAAAATATTGATCACAACAGATGTTATACCTTGCTGAACACTGAACTGGGATTTATAAAATCCACCCACGGACTTTTTTTTTGGAAGTGATTATGCTATTGTACTAAGACTGGGTATGGACAGTGTTCCCATTTCAGGGAAACTGCAGCAAAGATGTTTCCAGAAAAACAGAAAAGGACAGGTTAACACCTTCAGCATGTACAATTTTGGAGGCATGGGCACAGAGGAGACCTGGCACTGCATCAGCTTGGGCATAACATGGTAAATGTTCAAAAAAGATAAGAAATAGAGCGTTAGCTTCTTTGTATATCATAGATGTGTGCAGCAAAGAACAGGCATCTCATTTTCTTGGCAGTGGTCAGATATTGTCAGCTTGGAAATTGCACGCGTGGCAAATCCCTCATTGAGCTAGAGGCACAAAGGCTGGGAGAGAGAAGAGCTCTAGAAATCAGCAGCTATGGGGTCTGGGAAGCAGGAATTTAAAGATACCGTGTTGATTGCTGCCTCTGCCAATGAGTCACTGTGTGCCCTCGGGTAAGTCGTTTAACCAAGGCATGTCTCGATCTAGAGCAGGAAGGGCATTCACAGGAGGTTGCATTGCGCAGCTGATTCGTTCGCAGGGCCGGAGGGTTCGCAATTCCCTGCGGGGCAGCAAGAGCAGCCCCAGGTCCGGCACTCCTGCCCTGCTCCACATCCCCTGCCTGCCGCTGGGGAAGGAGGAACACCTTCACCTATTCTGAGATACACAGACTGAATGAAAATTAGCTTCGGAAAGCTATGGGTCTACATAAATACTGCAATTTTGACTGGCCCTGCGTGGTTAGGAAAATTGGATCTCGGTCCATGCAGTCAAAATATGCCTGGGTCTTTGGGAATACAAATGTTACAACTCTCCCTGTGTATGAAAATTTCTATTAAAAGCAACATCAGACAGAGAAATAATCTGCGCTATTTTTCTCTCAAATGCTCACGGCACCAAGAAACAGATCTGTTTGGGAAAAGTAAACATTTGCTGAAACACACCAGCCCAGTGAGTGACTGCAGGCTTCAGTTTAGGAAGTTACACGAGTACCACCAGCGAGGTCTGTTTCCGTGGCAGCTGCTGGAGCAGAGCTGGGCCTGGCAGGAGCGGAGCCGGGCCCGGCGGGAGCAGAGATGGGCCTGGCCCAGCAGAGCCCAGCCCGGCAGGAGCAGAGCTGGGCCCGGCCCAGCAGAGCCCGGCCTGGCAGGAGCAGACCCGGCCCGGCAGAGCCCGGCCCGGCAGGAGCAGAGCTGGGCCTGGCAGGAGCGGAGCTGGGCAGGGCAGGAGCAGAGCCCGGCCCGGCAGGAGCAGAGCCCGGCCCGGCCCAGCAGAGCCTGGCCCGGCCCAGCAGAGCCGGCCCGGCAGGAGCGGAGCTGGGCAGGGCAGGAGCAGAGCCCAGCCCGGCAGAGCCCGGCCCGGCAGGAGCAGACCCGGCCCGGCAGGAGCAGAGCTGGGCAGGGCAGGAGCAGCCAGAGCCAGCCTGCCCCCGAACGCTGCTGACCCCGTCTCGTTCAAACCATCCAGCAGACAAACCCGGGAGCTGACCAGGGCCAGCAAAAGTCAGCCTGCTTTCAGTTCAGAGTTAAACCTCCTCATCCCCACCTCTTGCCAAAGCACTGCAGTCAGAGATTTTCTAACAGGGTTATGTGTCCCTCCAAGGCTGCTACAGCCCAAGCAGTGTCTGTACCGGCTCCCCATGCCCCAGGACCTTCTGTCACGGCTGCTCTGGGGACACCGCGGCAGAACTGGGGGGCTCTGGGGACACCGCAGCAGACTGGGGGGCTCTGGGGACACCGCGGCAGAACTGGGGGGCTCTGGGGACACCGCGGCAGAACTGGGGGGCTCTGGGGACACCGCGGCGGGTCCGGGGCCCCGGGTGCCGCAGGCCGGGCCGGGCTGGCGCCGCCCTGAGGGGCGGCAGCGGCAGCACAGCGCCCCCTGCGGGCCGCAGGTCCGCCGGTACCCAAACCCTGCCCCCAGGTACCCAAACCCTGCCCCCAGGTGCCCAAATCCCTGCCCCCAGGTGCCCAAATCCCTGCCCCAGGTACCCAAATACCTGCCCCCAGGTACCCAAACCCCTGCCCGAGGTACCCAAACCCTGTTCCCAAGTGCCCAAATCCCTGCCCCACGTACCCAAACCCTGCCCCCAGGTACCCAAACCCTGCCCCAGGTGCCCAAACCACCCCTCCAGCATTCAGGGGTTGCCTGGGATTAACCTACCAACCAGGGCAATTAGTAACCTACCAAGAGTTTTAGACTTCATCCTGATGCACATATGCAACAGCAGCAAAGCTGGAAACCTGACCTGCTCTTGCAGAGGCAATAAAACACGCCAAGAAGATGTTTCAGCTGCATCTGTCCCTCCAGCTCCCACTGCACACATGCACTCTTCCTCCCTGCAGAATGTGTGCTGGTAGGTCTGCTCATTACATTAATGGAGGTAATTGCATTAGCAGAGTTCTGGTCCCTCACCAGTAAGCAGTTTTAAGAGATCAGGCTGCTTACATTAATTGAATAAGAAAAATCTCTACTCAATTTAATTGAAGACTGCTTTGAATGTTGAATACTAGCTGGTTTTCCATCACTGCTGTTTCCTAAGCACAGGTGCCAAAGGCCACTATCAGCTCAGACACCTCAAGCTCCATCCCAGAACCACTGAATTGATTTAATTAGGCAGAAGCTGAGCACAGACTGCACCCTTGCCCAGAGCTGCAGCACAGCAGCAGCCACACGGCTCAGCCAAGCCCTTCTGCTCAGGGGATGTGGACACCTCTTGGCTTGAGGCAGGCAGCTCCAGCACCACTCACAGCAGCACACTGCTGCTGTGCCAACTCCCCAAACCACTGAGAGATCCAGGAACGCGCTGTCAAACATGGGTCAAGAGAATTTCACTTACCAGCCAAACTCACTCATCATGCAGATTTTATTAAAACCAGGCTTCCAACAGCACAGAAACACACTGTGCCCTTGCCAGGGATACAGCACTGCAGCTTTCTGGGCAGCAGGGGAGAACCACAGCCTGACCCTTCCTTGCCCACAAGGCCACCTCCCGTACTGACAGCTGCTCCAGGAGAGGCCTCCTTGCCTTTTTTTTTTTGAGCTGCCAGGCAGGGAATGCAGCCCCTGGAGAAAACAGCATCCAACTGCACTGAACATGCAGCCAGTTCCAGAATCCATTCCAGTTACATGCCCTGTACCCTGGGCACAGAAAATGCAACAGCCTCCATCTAAGCTGGCAGGACACAAATTCATCACTCCTGACAGCTCTGAGGTCAGAGCTATTGCAGGGCATGGGAATGCTGGGGCTGGAAGGAGGATCCCAGGCAGCAGCAGAACCATCCATCTTGAGCAGAACACTGAAACTCCAGCAGGGCCCGGGACAACTTTTTACAAATCTCAACCTGTAAAGAGAACAGACAACATTTTGTCTATCCACTGTACCACAACAGCAAATATACAGCTTTGAAATCCACCCCAGCCCACATAAAAACCACTAGACAAGGGCTGTTCTGTAAAAAGTTGCCTCCTTGCCAGGCACTCCAAACAGGATGAACTCAAACTGCACTGCGGGAGCTTTCAGAGCAGGACCTGACAGGAACTAACAGAGCAGAGAGTGACAGAGAAACATGTCAGCTCAACCAGCTCCACCACTTGGACTGAGTACTGGCACCCTCTTGTTCACAGAGAGGGCACAATCCTGCTCCTGGGAGACTCCAGCCTCCCTGCAGACAGAGCAGCTGCTCAACAGCAACAGGAGGCTGGAACTGGATGAGCCAGACGAAACAGTTGTTGATCTGAGTAAGTTCTGTTAAGCACATTTTCTAAAAAAATAGTGAAATGCTAACCAGACAGGCAGGTATTCAGATGTCACACAGTTTATCTTCAAGTAACAAAAAGAACACCAAAAGCAATCCCTCTCTTGCAAACACACCGCTGAAAGCACACGTGTTTGCAAGAGCCTTCATCCACTTCAAGACACTGAGAACCTCCCAGTGCGGGGAGTGAACCCAAAAACTGCAAAGAACAAAAGCTCCTGGACTCTCAAGAAGTACCTTGTTTTAACACTGCTTAAATAGGGCAAAACTAAAACATTACATTTATGCCCTTGAAGTTGAATTGAAAACTTTCAGACCTCTCGGCCTTGAATTTGAGAACTTTGGAAAGAACTTCAACTAACAGGAACTTCCCTGCAGGAAACTGGAGTTTTTTTAACAGGGATAGTCAGTTTTCAGCACTAACAAAGGCCCCTGCTGCAATACTAATCCCCACTCTGCCAAACATCCAGGGCCTTGTCAAGGCACTGCAGAAGCAACTTCCTTGGAAAAAGGTATTCTCTCCCTTTTTCTTGGTTAAAGCCAGTGAACACAGGTGAATTAAAGACTCACCATTCTCCCCTGACAAAGGGGCACACATGGTGGAGCAAACCAGACAATGTCCTCACCCACACCTCTTCATTGTCAGCTGCAGCCTGAACTTCAGGTCTCCCCAAGGCTCAGCCCCCCACTTCTGCCTTCACAGTGCCCTGGGGGTAAAAGCAAAGAGAACTGTCAGCACCAGACCCTGTCAGGGTGTGGGACAGAGCAGCATTTCCCTGCTGGTGCATCAGACACGATCTGGCTTGAACAGCAAGAAATCAACACTGTCGCTCTGATGGGGAAAAAATTCAGTCATCACTTACACCAGCAAGTCCCTAGGAGCTGTGGCTGCACACCCACTGCAGCTGAGCCACACTCCCACGTCCCCTGGCAGAGCCAGAGGCACCATCAGCTAACAGAGCAAGTGGCAGAGCCATGCCCACACTGGCAATCCTCAGCACCCCCTTAAGCTGGCAGCAAGGGTCAGGGCAGCAGAGCCTTGCCAGCAGCACCTCCCACAGGGACACTTCACCAGAGCCTCCTGTTCCTTACTGGGGCAGCTGCTCGGGGCTGCCCACCACCCACAGTGCCCGTGCAGTGCCCTCAAAATGAGCCCTCTGAAGGCAGTGCAGCAGGGAGCAAACAGCACAGAGCTGCAAGCCACCACGCTGCTGCAGCTCAGCACACAGGGGCAGCGTGCAGCCTCCTGGCCTGCCGACTGCTATTCACTGTGGACATGATGGAGCAAGAGGCCCAAAGGACCTCAAAGCAGTGCTTCTGCAGGAGGAAAATCCCTGTACTCACTTCTACAAAACCCAGGCTAACACTCATCAGTATGGTCTCTAGGGATAAACTGGAACAAACTCCCTTGCAGAAAGGTATTTTTCCCCCTTCCCCTCCTATTCTCCTTTATAAATTTAATCATATGTGATTCACTTACTTCAAAGACTTACCATTATTTGCTAGAGATTCAGGCATGGTGGAGCAAACCAAACAAATGCCCACATCACACACCTCTTTGCTGCAGCCTGAACTTCAGGTCTCCCCAAGGCTCAGCCCCCCACTTCTGCCTTCACAGTGCCCTGGGGGTAAAGACAAAGGGAACCATCAGCATCACAGCCCCGACTGCAATATTCTGGGCATTTGCTAACACTAGGGTGTGGGACAGAGCAGCATTTCCCTGCTGGTGCATCAGACACGATCTGGCTTGAACAGCAAGAAATCAACACTGTCGCTCTGATGGGGAAAAAATTCAGTCATCACTTACACCAGCAAGTCCCTAGGAGCTGTGGCTGCACACCCACTGCAGCTGAGCCACACTCCCACGTCCCCTGGCAGAGCCAGAGGCACCATCAGCTAACAGAGCAAGTGGCAGAGCCATGCCCACACTGGCAATCCTCAGCACCCCCTTAAGCTGGCAGCAAGGGTCAGGGCAGCAGAGCCTTGCCAGCAGCACCTCCCACAGGGACACTTCACCAGAGCCTCCTGTTCCTTACTGGGGCAGCTGCTCGGGGCTGCCCACCACCCACAGTGCCCGTGCAGTGCCCTCAAAATGAGCCCTCTGAAGGCAGTGCAGCAGGGAGCAAACAGCACAGAGCTGCAAGCCACCACGCTGCTGCAGCTCAGCACACAGGGGCAGCGTGCAGCCTCCTGGCCTGCCGACTGCTATTCACTGTGGACATGATGGAGCAAGAGGCCCAAAGGACCTCAAAGCAGTGCTTCTGCAGGAGGAAAATCCCTGTACTCACTTCTACAAAACCCAGGCTAACACTCATCAGTATGGTCTCTAGGGATAAACTGGAACAAACTCCCTTGCAGAAAGGTATTTTTCCCCCTTCCCCTCCTATTCTCCTTTATAAATTTAATCATATGTGATTCACTTACTTCAAAGACTTACCATTATTTGCTAGAGATTCAGGCATGGTGGAGCAAACCAAACAAATGCCCACATCACACACCTCTTTGCTGCAGCCTGAACTTCAGGTCTCCCCAAGGCTCAGCCCCCCACTTCTGCCTTCACAGTGCCCTGGGGGTAAAAGCAAAGAGAACTGTCAGCACCAGACCCTGTCAGGGTGTGGGACAGAGCAGCATTTCCCTGCTGGTGCATCAGACACGATCTGGCTTGAACAGCAAGAAATCAACACTGTCGCTCTGATGGGGAAAAAATTCAGTCATCACTTACACCAGCAAGTCCCTAGGAGCTGTGGCTGCACACCCACTGCAGCTGAGCCACCCTCCCACCTTCCCTGGCAGAACTATAGACAATGAGGGAGCTAATGTAAATTCTTCCCCCAAAATGTGGCTGGTTGGCATGCTCTACAAGTACACAGGACAGGGAAATATTCCCAAAAAATGGAGAACAGCAATGTATGGGTGTTCTAGAGTTCAAAACAGCCAAGACATTTAACAGAAGAAGAGGCATCAGGCAGAGATTAACCGATTACAGCCGCAGGTGTGTCCACGAGCGGCTCCCGCTGCCGCCGGCCACGGCACCGGCACGGCGCTGCCCGGGGCCGCTGCGGGACGGACCCGCTGCCCTCCAGCGACACCACCCCGGCAACGCGCGGCCCCGCTAACTCAGTAACTCCTCTGAAAGAGCAAACTTCAATAAGTGCTGTTTTAATTCGGTACGGAGCAGGTATTTTGCAGACTTACCGCCTGGCTCCGGCAGAGGCTCGGGCCTGCCGGCGCACGCCGGGGAAGTGCCCTCATGGCCGGCCTGGCTCCGGGCACGGGGCTCCCGCCGGCGCCCTGGGCTCCGCCGCCCTGTGGGGAAACAAAGCACAGTGAGTACCGGGAGCAGCGGACGGTCAGCACCGGCCCGCGGCCGCTCCGCTGGTGCATCAGACACGACCTGGCTTGGAAAGCGATGGTCAACACTGCCGCTCTGACGGGGAAAGAGTCATCACCTGTACCAGCGAGCGCCCGGGGAGCTCCGTGTGAGCTGGGCGGGGAGCGCGGCCGGAGCCCGCTGAGGCGGCCCCGGGCTGAGCGGGAGCGAGGCGGCCGCAGGGCGCGGCGGCCGCCTCAGCGGACGGGCGGGCAGAGACGCCCCGGCCCACCCCCGGGGAAGGGGCAGAGGGGAATCCCGAGCACCCCCTGACCCACCGGTACCCGCACCTACCTCGGCCGATCCGGAGCAAGAGGCCGCGGAGCTCCGCGCGAGGGAATTTATGGGCTCCGGAGGCCCCGCCCCGGGCCCGCCCGCTGCCCGCGCCGAGGGGCCGCCATGGCCGCCATGAGGGGCCGGGCTCGGGGGCGGGGCCGCAGCGCCGCTGTGGAAGGCGCCGCCATTTCGCGTTCCGCGCTGCCCGGCCGGCCCGGCCACGCTGTGGGCGGGGGAAGGCGGCCGGGGGCAGGCGGAGCAACCCGGGGTGTCGGTGCGTTTGGTATCCTTTACCGGGACCGGCGAGCGTGGCTTCGGACGCTTAGTTCTCTTTACAAACGAAATAAAAGCCAGCAGTTAAGTGGTGGTGGAAAGGCACGAGCATCCATCGCGGCCGGGCTCCCGTGCTGCCAGCCCGCTCAGCCCTGCCTCCGCCCGGGGCTGCCTCCGGGGAACCGGCCCCTGCCTGGGGCGCACATCTCAGGTTTTTAGGTGCTTTAGACAGATAAATCATGTTGCGTTAAATAGCTTGCCACTGGGTAACGTGAGGAAAGAAAGGATGACGTGAGAAAGCAAAAGATGTGTCTTGAATGAGGGCCCAGTTTGTAACCCCAGACCGCCGTGAGCCGCGATTGTTGTAGCTGAAAGTCGCCTTGCAACGGGGCAGTGACGGCAGTCAGGCCCCGGGAGCCCGGGCACGGTCCAGCCCGGGGCGCTGAAGGTTTCCGAAGGTGTTTTTTTGAAGGTTTTACAGCAGCTGGGACTAAGGCGGCAGAGGAAGAGCTGTGTCCTGCAGGAGGAAGCTCTGCTCCGGACTGCCTCAGAATCCTGTCGTGGCTCCACGCTTCGGTTTTTTTCTGTTTGTGAAATGCACGTGCTTAATTCAACTCCTGTTAAAATGCTTTTTCCCTATTAAGTGTGTTTGTAGGCAAATAATTTTTGAAAGCAGCTTATCAAACAGGACTTGTGGAATAAATCTCAGTGCTGTTAAACCGAGTACCAGAACACCAAGAGATGAAAAGACAATCAAAGGAAGGACGTTTTAAGAGGATTACAGGGAAAACTAATCTCGTTACACTGCAAACCCCTGTCACATGCACAACACAAAAGGAACTGTAGACATGATTTGTGTTGCCTAGCTTGGCAAGGAAGGGAAAGTGGGGAGGTCTGAGATAGTCAACAGCTGCAGCAGAAGTTAGTATTAAATTTATTCAATTTTATGTTTGGGTTTTATTCTCTTTGGCAAAACCAGGTGGAAAACATCTTTAGCTAAGTGAGTTCTTCAGCTCAGTCAGGCTCCTTGAACTCAGGAAGTTCCTCAAGAGGCAGCAACAGCTCCAGTCCCAGTTCTCCTTGTTCCCCTGCAGTGCAGCAGAGCTCTGGTGCCCCACAGCCCATCCCAGGACATCGGGGACACTCCTGTGCCCTGCCCAGCCTCACAGGTGTGCCAGGGTTAGGGTAAGTGGCTAAAAGACACACTTATTTCTTTTTAAAGTAGCACAGTCCCAAAGAATGTATTTGTATTCTCTGCCAGCCCTCAGGGGGATTCTGTCAGCGTCTCCCATGTGCCAGCTCACAAGTGCCAGCACAGAACCATTCTTTTCTCTGGGCAGGAGAGACAGGAAGAGATGAAGTGTTCTTGAATTGCTACACAAGGCCTTGTCAGATTAAATGTTTCAGGTGCCATCCTCTTCACTGCTACATTGTTATGTTCAGGGTTCTTTTAAGATCAGAACTGACTATGAAGAAATCCAAACTTTGGTTGGGATACAACCTCTGCTTTCCCAACATAATAACCTAAACCAGAAAACCAGATGCCTACAATATTCTTGACATTTCTAATACAGATTGTGGCTTTCCAGCAGATAGACTTTATTTTTAAAAAAGGCATCAAGAAAGCCATTAAAAGATCTTCCTGAACTGTCAGGTCAGCAGCTTCACTGTGATAGTCAAAATAAAAGTCAGCACAAATTTAAGGGTGGCTGGATAAACAGCTTCATGAGCTTCTGCCAAATCACACACACTGTCCTTTTAGAATAGGAAAAATCCCAAAGACAAAATTCACAGGATGGATTACTGCTGGTGCTTCAGGCTGCTTCCCATTCCCATTCCCATTCAGCTCTCCTACAGAGCCTTTTATAAGAGTTAAATGGGGTGTTTTAGCTGTCTTGCAGGTTAACATTCCCAAAAACATTTGGCACAAATTCTTTCAGATCTTAATCCTGAAACCAAGACTGATGGATCACAAAGTCACATTTCTTCCCTGGGGAGTCAGGCCATCAGGCACTGAAACCAGGAGCGGAAGATGGAGAGCCCAGCGCTCCCTGGCCTGCCCTGGGCAGCTCTGCCTGCAGAATGGCTGCAAGGGTAAAAGGCTGGGGCAACAAGGGGGGCAGTTCTGAGAAACAAGAACTCCTTTTCAGCTGTGTCTTCTGCCTTCGCTGCACCACGCGCAGAGGAGACAACAGGAAAAGCAAGGGACTGTGGTACTCGGGCAAAGCCCCACTTTTATCCAGAGCTCACGTCAGCTTACCCAGAATCCACACGCTGCCACGGCGTGTCCCAGCAGGAGGCTGTGACTGCAGCAGGCCTGGGAGAGGAGACACTGCTCTTACCCAAGAGGGGATCAGGGGGTTTAACAGCACTGCACAGCTCCCTGCGCCAAAGGGCTTTAATCCAGGGTCCTACAAAACACAGCATTAGCTACAAGTGACTGCTGCAGAGAGTCCCAAGAGCAGGCTCTAGTCCATCCGAGGAGAGAAGCCAAGTGCAGCAGATGAAGGCAGGGAGAAGCTGGGCCCACTGCTCTCAGTGTGCTCCCTGCTTTCCAACAGAACGGTTTAGTAAGGAGTTTCTGAGTTGGAAAAATTTGCAATACAAAGCCTCAGCCTAGCAAGTTTCTTTTAATTTTTAAATGTACAGCATTTTAGTTCTACAAATGTTAAAAAAATTAAAACCAAAAAAACCTTTACAATGTTTGGGGGTTTTTAGCTTATAATGATCACACCCAACGTGATTCAATGCAATCTGGTCTGCAGTTCCTGTGGCCCGATTGCTTTGGATGATGCAAATAAAATGGCCAAGACATTTAGCTCTGAGACAGCACCTGCAGGAATTGCCCTCTGTGGCAGAAGTTCCCGTGGGCGCTGCACACAGGTGAAGGAACTGCTCCTGCAGGTCACAGGGAAGTAAACACTGACCGTAGCTCACATGGACGAGACACCGACACGTGTCAGCCTGCGGGGCCGGGCCGGGGCCGCTGCGGGAGCCAGGCTCTGCTCTGCAGCACTGCCCCAGCACCGCGAGGCACGCCAGGCTGTGGCTCAGCTCACAAGCAAACAAGGAAACAGAGTTAAAGTCTCTACTTCGAGGAAGTCCCATCCCCTGGCTGTGCCAGGCTCCTCGCTGAAGCGAACTTTTAAGTTTCACTTTAAAGTCCAGATCGAGTTCGCATTAACACAGCTGCACTAACACTGTGGCACAAATAACAAACTGTACCCACATTACTTTGCATTTCCTTGCTGTGCCAGGTCTGCACACCCTGCACAGCACAGAACATAGAACATTCTCTATGCACTCGAGAACCACTGGAAGTTACTCCACAGCTCAACACACTGCCCAGACTAGAGCACAAGCATTACAAATCTATAAAAAAGCAGCCCCTGTGGTGGTGTACAGGAATAAACTAACCAAAAAAATTTAGTATTACCATTTATTGGTGACAAACACTACGTTTTACTTACATTCCATGGGGAGAAAAAATTCCAGCGTAAACAATGAACGGAAGCAGTACTGAACTCGCGCGGCTATCGTGCTGTACCTGGACCAATGCAAACCTCAGCGCGCACCGACCGTGCGCAAGAACACAACATCAAAAGCAACACAGTTATATATAAACATAGGTAATTTTTTTCAGCCCTACATGGAGATGTAATTAAACAGTATAAAGCACTCAAGGAAAATCAATCTGCAGTTTTATATGCACTACATTGAGATCATATCCTGTACTGTAGTGAGCTGCAAGCCACCAACGCACAGTCCCTAAAACAGCTCAGAGATCACTGAAAGTCACGTTGCATTCGAGTTCCCCTACCCCACACTCAAGAAAACTAGAAATCAACCAAAAATGATCAAACCAAATTTAAAATTCCTAAATCCATTCAACCATTGGATAATTAGGGTGGGTTTGCAAAAATATGGGGCTTTTTAAAATGGTGGGACACAGCCTGTTTCCAGTGAAACGCTGCTATTCCAATAAAACCAAAATAACCGCATACATGGATATGATCTTCCCAAGTTAGTTCACAGGTAACATGTCAGTCTCAGAAGACAAAGTTTCTAAACTGTGCTATGGTTCTAGATACAATTAAGAAACTTTTAAATGAAAAATGTATAGTGTCATTTCAATCAAAACAACATAATGAAACTAAAAATGTATCACTGTTTGAAGGAAAAGCAACAGTTATGATTTAGACACTACAGTAGGTTGTAGAGACTGTAGCACTCCAACAGTTAGGTTACATTGAGAGGAAGCATTTGATTTTCTCTGGTGCTTTCAGGTTTGGGTTCAGTCAAGAGCCTGTTTCAGGCAGTGCTGTCCAGTGTTTGTCCCAAAGGGTTTGCGCTCGCCGGTTTGAGGAGAGGGTCACTTTCCATTTCTTGTTTCACACATCTAACATGAGAAAACACCTGTTACTTAGGAGACAAAACACTATTTCCACAAATAAGTTACTTAAATTGGATACAAATAATTTGATGTGCATTCAACAATTTGTTACTATATAACTAACCCAATTTTTAATCAATTAGCACTTTGGTAATCCCACCACTGTTAATTTGAGAGCTCATTATCTCAATGAGAGGCTCAACTTTCTCTCCTCCCAAACCGAGCCAAGAGAATAATTTGCACTTCTCCATGCTTCTGCTGAAAACGAGCTTCAGCTTCAACCCCTGCACGTCCCTTTACCCGTGACACACAAGACTGCAAGAGAGAGAGAGGAGCACTTGGAACCCCAAGGCCACTGCAGAGTCACACTCCTTAGAGAGAAATGGGGCAGCTGAGCTGAGGGAGGCCAGAACTGCTGGGGCCCAGAGCTGTTCCACTGGGCTGGGGTCACCACAGGCAGCACACTTCACCCACTCACTCCTGCTCAGTGCTTTGCCTTGGACACATGGAAGCGACAGGCTTGGTCATCCAACCCTGCCTCTGGTGCTGCTGGAGGGCAAGCAGCCCCTGGCATTTCAACCTTTCTGGCAAATCAAAACCCTCACATGTTATTTGTCTAAAAACTCTCACAGGGCTAATTTCCATCAGTGCAAGGGAAGTTGGTGGGAAACACTCACACAGACATTGGTCCATTTCCTGTCCTTGGCATCTCTGTGGTTTGTTGGTCCAACTCAGACAGCAACTTTAAAATATTCAATGCAGCCTAAAGAGAAGAGAGAGCACTCAGCAATTCAGCCTCTGGACAGTTCAGTAATTTAGTGAAGCACTCACTTAAGCCAAACAAATGTTCTTATTTTGGCGATATTTTTAAAGAAGTTTTTTCAGTTCCATAGTTATGGTGGAAAATGCAAAGGTGTAGAATTTTATCTTGCTTCATTAAACAATTGGATGGTGCTATGACTGGGGATTCCCACTGCACTTGTTTCAGTCCTGGGGGAAAACTAACACACCAGGACTAGAAACAGCAAGAAGAGAGACACTAAATTAGTAACAGCTCAAACTGTGCAGAGCTTAAGACAAAGGAGAGAAAATTACACAGACCCAGTGTCCTTTTCCACCTCAGCCCAAGTATGGTTCCCAGTGAATCATCAGCCCATTCTGATACAATAAGGAAATAAGCTGAGATGCTGTTAGGTTTATACTTTCCTTTTTGTGCATTTACTGTCATGGGCTCATGCAAATACCATCAACACGAAGCATTTTGCTTTTTGTAGACCAAAACTGTGATAAAATGTTTAGTGTATTAAGCATTATTTAGACTGCATTCTGATATTATTAATCATTACTTCTGCAGCCTGTGAAATATTAGACAAAATTATCCAGGCAACTGTAGAGCATCTGATTGCTCCCAGCAGGGATATAAAACCTTGGTGTCCCCTTGGGGAAGGCCCAAGAGCAGCATTTCAGCAGGGTTCCTCATACCATGTCGTGGCAAGACTCCACGTCCTTTCCAATCCCATGACTGATCAGCGGTGGCTGAGAGGAACAGTTTATAAGAGATACAAACTCGTTCTTGTTATTTTTTGGAAAGTCCTTATATTCAACCTGAAGAAAAAAAAAGGGTTTATTTCTTTTCAGTTAACCAAGTACCAGGAGTATATCACAACTGCTACAGATTATCTGCCCATATATGACACTGAACCTTTCTTCTCATCATTCTCTCAGCCAGCAGAACCCCTCCATTTGAAGTTTAGTCTCACTTACAATGTTTTTTACTACTCACAAGAGCTTGCCAAGGCTCCTGAATTGCAAGTGGCTACTTAATGATGATTGTTACTGGAACCTTTATTCTGATCACTGCTAGCTGCATTTCAAATTTCTGTATTATGCTTTTTGATCCACTGAGCTCATCTGTCATACGAACATAGGAACTTAATGCAATTCCCATTAAAGGGAGCAAATGTGAGAAAACACAGAGCTTACAGCACATGCTAATGTATGACAGATTAGTGAAAAAACCTGATTTCACATCAGCCTAGTTCAAGTCCACAAGGTCTTCTTACATTGGGACAACTTATAGAAAATGCTTCTTTAATTTTGTTCTTCCAAGTCCTCAGAATACACTGAACCACTGAACTGGGGCTGAGAATGGTACAGAAATGCACACTTGAAAATTAAATTTAAAAATATGTAAAATTTGGTACGAGTCATGGGTAAAGCAAAACTGTTAGATGAATTTCAGCAGGCTCAGAACTCATCTCTCCCCAAGAGAATTAAAAAGCTTTGAACAAACAGAAGGCTGGACTTGGATAGCTGTGGAAGAAGTCCCAAGTGGAACACCTGCCTGGATTCCTTGGACGTTGGAAAGGTAGTCCAGCTGCTCGGAGGGCCTGGTCAGAGGCCCGTGGGGGAAGTGGCCCGAGGGGCTGCTGCTCTTCAGGATGGTCTCGGCGGTGGGAGAGGTGCCCCCGTAGAGCAGCTCCCGGGCGATCATGGCCGTCACCGTGGCCTTGGCGGGGTTGGGAGCTGCCCGACTGAACTCTTTGGTGTGGTGTCCTTGATTGGCTCCCACAGCCTGTGCAACCTCAGGGACCATGGGAAGAATTCCAGCAGGAAGCTGCTGATGGCTGAGATAAGGCATCCTAAACTCATCTTCTTTATTACCTGGGAGGAGAGAGGTGCACACTGAAGAGCTGCTGTTTGAGAGTCCTCCTGCAGGCACACACAGGCACCAAAAGTCACTTGGGAAAAAAATAATTAGTTTCAAATTACTTTTGACATGCCAACAGACTTGGTAAGCTCAGTCAGCCTTTGGAGGGTCAGAGCTTCAGCATCACCAAGACAGAGTTTTCTTACTGAATTACTGACTCAGTGCAACAGCTGCTTCTGCCAAAGGGAGCACCTTCACCTCCAGGAGGAGTTCCTCCAGGTCAGTCAAGCTCACAGACACCTCAGCTGCAACCATATTCTAGATCTATCTTTTCCTTTCGGAATTTTTCATTCCATCATTTAAACTGTAGGAGCAAATAATGAAGCCACAGAATGGCCAGTGCCACCACTAAATGATGGAAAGAAAGTGACAGTCCACAAAGTTTAAACTGTAATTGTGAGAACAAGCAGGAAGGAAAGGTAAAATGGAGCATCAGCACAAAGAGGCAAGACTATTTACAGCAAATGTCCAGCCACAGTCAACTGACAGCAATTTGCTGACATTATGGTATAAGTCAAAGAGGGATAAGAACAGCTTTTCAAGGGAACTCAGATCTATGGATGAAACAGGCACAGGTGTGCTCAAGAAAGGTGGGGAAGATAGTGCCACCAAAATAAACCAAGGAGTCATTTTTATGGCAGAACAGATTCATGAAGTTCTGCAGGACTGAGCTGTTTCAAGTCTCAGGATGAAAGCCACAATTTGTAAATGGAAGAAAACAGGGATAGCAAAATCTGAATAGGAAATCAGGAAGTTTACCTAAGGTCCTATGGATGTAGTAAAACAGTACTAAAGCTCAAGTAAATTCCAACTTACTATAATTTACATAGCCAAGTTATACTTAAACACTTAAAGTACTGAAATATGCTCCCCAGAACAGCAATCTGTGGTGACAGACAAACTTTCCATAATGATTCCTCCCACCAGATGATATCCCAGAAAGCAATGTCTGTGTACAGGGTGGCCAGGTTCGAGGTGTTCTGGCTCCAGCCTGCCACCCTGGGTGTGACCACCACAACCATTCACTGCCTGAAACAAGGGCAGGCACAGCTCCTGCTCTCAGGCATCAGAGAGCAGGCACAGCCTGAGGTGCTCTGGGCAAGGCCCTTCCCTCCCTCTCCAACTCTGCCTGAGGCTGAGCAGTTCTACTGACACCCTTTCTCCTCCTCATGCCAGGAAGAGGGCCTTGGGAGGAATAAGCTCTGTGGGGTTTGAACCAAACCTTTCCAAGGGCTGCACTTGGTTTGCAAGGCAGCAGCTGCACAGCTCTGCTCATCCCAGAGTGCTAGATGGCACTGCTGAAGGGACCTGCCACCCCCAACAGGGCCCTGCTGCTTTCACCACGTTACTCACTGGCTGAAGTCTCTTCAGAGCCCGGCTCAAAGAAGGTTACTTTTCTTCCATCACCTGGTTTCTTCACTGGGGTCTTAAAAATAAAAGGAAAAGAACTCAAACACACAATATCTCTTTAAAACTTTTTTCCTCCCAAATGTTAAAGTTTTCGAGATGCAGGAGATCTGACCAGCCAAATTTTTACAGAAAAAGTTATTATTCAAAAACATCAATAACTACATTGCTATCAAAAAAAAGAGGAAGTTCAGTGATGCTTATTCACTGAAGGCCTAAAACTTGGTATTAGGAACAGAGCTACTCAGAAGCAGATACCAGAATAAAGCCAGTTTAACTGCCATTAGTCACTGGTGCTGCTGAGGAGAGCACACCAGACACCAATGAGCACATGTGGAAAGGACAAAACCAGCCCTGGGTTTGCTGTCTGAACCCCCTGGCTGCACCTGCTGATTCACCAGCAGAACACAGGAGGCTCCTTCCCCAAGGGACCCACCAGAGAGACCTGTAACAAAGGTCTCATTGCAACTGTGGCAAGGCTGTGTAAAACTATTGCTAGCAGAGGACTATAACCTACAGGTCTGCAAGTTTCTAAGAGCAACACATTGATTATCACAGGTTCTGAGACATTTCATAAAGCATGAATACATAAATTTATGCTTCTGATGAGACTTTGATTTACCTGAAAACCCAAACGCTTAATGTATCCAAAACACTGGATATTTAACATTTTTTCAGAGAGCAGTCCCCTCAATACAATTGTTTCCTGGCTGGGGCAGAGGGAATGAACTTCCTACCCTGTCACTGCCTTGCAAAGCTGCTTCTGTGCAGCTCAGCCTTTGCTGCAGCATTAACCAGCTGCTGCTTCCTCCAGACTCACCTTCTCTTCCGTCTTTAATGCTGGTTTTGGAGGCTGAGGTTGAGGGACTTTGAAACCTAAAATTTCCAACATATTTTCAGCTGCATTGCGTTTAGCAACCTTTTTGTTCGTGCCCATTCCTTCAGCTGTGTGTACACCAACTTTCACCTGGACAGAAGAGGAAGAAAACTCAGTTCTTAAGCAGCAGTATGGGGACTCCCTTATTAGTGAGCTGTGTCTGCAGCATGCCATGAGTCACAAAATAGTTCAAGTGATCATTGCTCTGAGCAAGTTGCCATTTATTATCAATAATCATTGGCCTTCAAGCCACCTCCAGCTGTGTGCCATGGCCACAGGCACAGCCCCAGCTGTGTGCCATCACAGCCCCAGCCCCAGCTGTGTGCCATCACAGGCACAGCCCCAGCTGTGTGCCATGGTCACAGCCACACTCCCAGCTGTGTGCCATCACAGCCACAGCTGAGTGCCATCACAGCCACACTCCCAGCTGTGTGCCATCACAGCCCCAGCCCCAGCTGTGTGCCATCACCCCCCCAGCCCCAGCTGTGTGCCATCACCCCCCCAGCCCCAGCTGTGTGCCATCACCCCCCCAGCCCCAGCTGTGTGCCATCACCCCCCCAGCCCCAGCTGTGTGCCATCACCCCCCCAGCCCCAGCTGTGTGCCATCACCCCCCCAGCCCCAGCTGTGTGCCATCACCCCCCCAGCCCCAGCTGTGTGCCATCACCCCCCCAGCCCCAGCTGTGTGCCATCACCCCCCCAGCCCCAGCTGTGTGCCATCACCCCCCCAGCCCCAGCTGTGTGCCATCACCCCCCCAGCCCCAGCTGTGTGCCATCACCCCCCCAGCCCCAGCTGTGTGCCATCACCCCCCCAGCCCCAGCTGTGTGCCATCACCCCCCCAGCCCCAGCTGTGTGCCATCACACCCACCTGCATGACGAACTCCCTGCGCCTGGGCAGCCCACGTTCTGTGATGAGCATGTACTCGGGCTCCTTCTCCTTCTTGGCCTGCTGTATCTGGGCAAGTCTGCTGATGGGATTCATTCCTTGACCGTATTCTGGACTTGTTTGCAGCTACACAGAACAGTGTTTAGAAAATAAGCCAAACTTTACAAATATTTGGTTTAATAGACAGAACGCAGCATGGCCTGAATTAACCTCTAGATTTTAAAAATACTGAAATAAAGGCTGCTTAATGAAACACTGTCACAGCCAAAGAGAAATACTGAATTTATTTGGCTCCACTGTCACACTTGACCACATGTAACCTACCCTGCTAATAGCTTTACAAACCTTAATCCTGCTGCATTAGGAGGGACAAGCTTGCAGGAGAATTTGTACAAGCAAAACCCAAAGCTGTAAAGTCTGAGGCTTGAAAGTCAGAGCTTGATTTTTATGTGCTGCTCTTTCCTTTATAAGGTTTCTCTTTCATCTTGAATTTACAGGTAACTGCTATAAAGGTGGTGTCAGAACCCCATTAGAGTGGGAGCAAAATACCAGCTCATTTGTTGCACCAGAGGGCTGGTAAAGGCTGAGCAGCTGAAGAGTGTTCATAACTGACTCAGAAAAGCCTCTCTGATGATTATTTGCACAGTCAGATTTCCAATCTTTTCCCCCTTACCTTCACTATTGATTTTGTTTTCTTTTTGATTCGTGGCTTCATTTTCTCAACTGTAGGAAGGGGTGGCAATTTTTTCAGTTCTTCTAGGACTGCTATTGCAGCATTTTTCTTTGAGATCTTCTTGCTCTTTCCTTCACCTTCACCCATGAATTCTCCAACTGATACCTTGGTTACAAAACTCTTCATATGGGGAGGACCACTTTCCTTGGTCACCTGTTTCAGAGGGAAAAACTGAGTGAAAGCGTGATAAACACTTATTAAAAATGGCAGGGCACATTGTTTATAGCAAACTTCTCTCAAGAACTAAGGATAAAGAGATTTTAGATTCTCATACAATCCAAAAAGTAAAACATACTAACTCTAATAACATATTCCCACCCAACTAAGCATACATTTTTAGAAGATCAGATGCACCAAGCAGTAAACAGTATTTACAGAAGTCATTAACACATCTTATTTAATTTACTGATTTACTGCTTCAGTACAAAAATAGGACTGTTCTATTTCACCAGTGTGTACTTCCCCACAGTTAACAGCACCTCATTAAATATACCACAGTACAGCAATAAAACATTACAGAGGAAGCAGCTCTTTGGGATCTAGCATTTTAGCCCAGAAATTCTGAGTTCTGAACTCTGAAGTTCAGAAGAATTCTGAAGACATCTAAGAGACAGCTGCCCGCTACAGATTTAGGCTTTTAACTCCATTCATAACACATCACACTCCAAAATATCCATAAAGTCAAAAAGTAAGAATGAATTTTAAGAGCTTCCACCCACAATTGGTTTTGTGTGACAATGTATTTTTATCAGTGATGCTCAGGCTAATCTGCAATAATTGAAAGTTTCGTGTAAAATTTTATAGAACAGTTTCAGAAGCAATTTAGTTACACACAATTGCATTTTCTTACTACAATAATTCAGATGGTTGGCTTAAATATTACTCTGCCAGCTCAGAAAAGCAGCATGATAAATTAATATTTTAGTGAAAAAGAGACACTCCTGTGGAAGCTCCTGATTTAAGGTAACTGAAATGATCAAGAGGGGCAAAGAGGCAGCAAGCAGCCAGGCCAAGGGGAAAGGAAAGTCAGATGCACATGAGGTCACCTCATGGCAAGAAAGGAAACCTACTTGTGAGGTTCTGCACTCAGGGGTAGTCCAGATCAGTGCTTAATTAAGCAAATACTTCCATATGTGTCTTTCAGAGTGAGCTCTACTCTTTTGCCTCGACTCTGCACTCCCATGTTCTAATCATTAATGCAGGGTCGTGTTTTGGTTCTTCACTGTAATAAGCTTTTCTCAAAAAGCTCAGAAAAAAAGATTGCACAGACAACCACAGCATAGCTGTTCACTCCATGTGATCATTTCAGGGCATGAATTTGTGAACAGGTGGATTTTTCTTTTTGCTTCCCTTTACCACAAAAACTCCAAGACAATCAAGGTGACTGTCAAAGGTTAAAGTGTATTCACAACTAACGAGACACGTTAAAAGTCAGTTGTTTAGGTTATCTAAAAGAGACTCAACTTAATGTGTACCCTTAATAGTCTAATAAAAACAAATCTAGAGCTTGTAAAGTAAACATACCTCAAAATTCACAGGCAAGTTCCTTTTAAGTGCAATCTCAAAAACTTGGCTTATTTCAGATTTATTGAGATTTTCATCATCTGGTTCTTTTCCGTTAACCTAAAAGAAGCATACTCTATTTAAAATAAAGATCCTATTAAATTGAATTTTATCCATTCAACCACTTTACTGAACTCTCCAAATTTTAAATATTCTAACCTTTACTGTCATGTTACATAAACATGAGAAAAGCAGCCCATGTACTACAGAACTGAATCTTAAAAAGCTCATTAAGGTGTATGGGTAAAAGCTTTCAAACCTTCATATTTTCATGTGCTCATTACAAGAAAGAACAAATGGAATAAGGGCCAATAGGTTTAAAAATGTGTTTACAGAAAATGAAATTGAAGTGCTAAGTGCACTGATTTCCAAATGGAAGTACCTTTATGAAATACAATTTTCATATACTGATTGGACATTTGCACCAAAAGCACTAAGACAGGATCAAGTAAGAGAAAGGGCAGGAAAAACAAAGATTCTGGAGTGGGACCAATGTGAATGAGGGATGGCTGATGAGCCCTGGCACAGTCGTGTCTTTTCACATGCTCCATGTAAGTGCTTCATCTGCAGCTTTGCTTTCTCACGTCAAGAACAGCCTACCAGGAGCTTGCCCTACATCAAACACTGACCATCTCTGAGAACTCAGACCTGCTGGGACAACACTGCCAGTGAAGCTGTCCCACAGGCAGGTATCTCCAGGTGAAACTTTGACTGGGATTCCAGAGGTGTCGCTGATGCTGGCACCAACATGAGCTAAGGCATGTCAACAGCAACAGAGAAATTTCAGGTGTCCAGCAGTGACATTGGAAAGCTTATGATAAAGATGAACAGCAACAATACCACCGATTATATCATGCCACAATTGTAGCTATGCAACGAGGTAATAAAAATGATTTAAGTATCTTATTGGAGCAGCAGCAGGGGAGCTGAGCTAGAGCTTTCATGGATTAAAACTTGCTGGATGGCAGCGAGCATCCCCCATGGCTGCTACCAACAGGTTAGTTTAAAACACAAAGGATTTTTTTATCCCACCAGTTAAGACAGGCTTTTCCCACCTTAGAAAAAAAAAAACAGTTAACTAAATTAATCTCAAGTTTTCACTCCTCCCACTGTCCCATGAGACTTCACACTGTTCTCCTGGGCTGCCCCTGTCCATCAGGCTGGAGTCTGGGCCCAGCCCTGGCCCTGGTGCTGTGGCAGGGCAGGGCAGTGCCAGCCCTGGTGCCATGGCAGGGCAGGGCAGGGCAGTGCCAGCCCTGGTGCCATGGCAGGGCAGTGTGGGGCTGTCCCACAGCCCTGGTGCCATGGCAGGGCAGGGCAGTGCCAGCACTGGTGCCATGGCAGGGCAGGGCAGTGCCAGCCCTGGTGCCATGGCAGGGCAGTGTGGGGCTGTCCCACAGCCCTGGTGCCCTGGCAGGGCAGTGTGGGGCTGTCCCAGAGCCCTGCTCCCCTCCAGAGCCAGCACAGCCCCACAGCCAGCAAACAGCAGGCAAACCCGACCCAGTAGAGCCCCCAAAGTTCTCCACCATCGTCTGCCAAACCGCAGTGCCAGCTCCAAAGGACACTGGAACTCCTAAGGCCACGTGCACTCCAGCACTGCCAGGCAGGGTCTGTCCCTGCCCTCACTCACCAACACTGCCACAACTTCAATTACAAGCACTTTTCCTCTCCTTGTAATATCAGTGTTCTAGTGTTTCAAATTCCTACATTTTTCTTTGTGAAGATGACTATGACTTGTCTTTATTGGAATAAATTTTCCCACTTAATATCCTCTCAAGAGAATACAAATAAATAGAACGTAATTATCTGCTCTATTGCAGTGTATGTTCCTAATACATTCCAAGTCTGTGTGCACAGTGCAAAATGAAGGTTCTTTTCTTTAATACATTTATCTAAAAAGAGTGAATTATTAGCAAAATAATCCTTAACAGACTACAAAAATTTTACTGATTATTTTGACTCTACTTGAGTTCTGGATCAGTTTACTTTATAAATAAAAAATAATCATACACACACTCTCCCCCTTTCCCTGCACACTTCAAGGCAGATGATGCCTAAAGTTTGCTTTTGAGCTATTTTGCATGTTTGCACTGACCAAACTCTCCAAGAATTATGTGCCTCTAAATCTCAGTGAGAGCCCAAAGCATTTGCCATTCTTAGCTCTGATCACATTGTTCAAGCAAATTCCACAAGTCCTGTACTCCATTACGAGTACTTGCCCTCTTCCAGGGGCTCCTTGCAGTTCCTTCCCTCCCTCAAGACTCTGATCACATTGTTCAAGCAAATTCCACAAGTCCTGTACTCCATTACGAGGGACTTGCCCTCTTCCAGGGGCTCCCTGCACTTCCTTCCCTCCCTCAAGGCTTGTGAGCAAATGCTGGACAGGGAGGAGGTGCTGCCCAGCACTGCAGTGCCTAACCACAGCCTGAGCCTCCACATCAAGGGCATGAAGAGCAGCTGGTGTTTACCAAGTGAGCTGGCAACAAACACAGAAGCAAATTTTGAGGCAAAATTACAATTCCTGCCTGAGCACAGTGCTAGGAAGCCCAGCTGTCCATGTTTCCTAAGCTTTAAGTCAATGTTTTATCACCTCTCTTTGAATATGCCAAAAACCCATCCTGCTCCTTGCCCAGCACATCCAAGCCCAGCCACACTGAAGGTCCCTGTGAGCTCTCCCAGCAGAGCCCCCTCTCAAAGCTCCAACACCCAGCCCAGCTCTTCAGGCAGGGCTTGGTCCAGCCAAGAGCCAACATTATTACATGTTTCTTCCTGCCACTTGCTCCTAGATTTGCAGCCCGAAAAGCTGTGGGAAATGGTCATTCTTTCCCTTAAAGTCTAATAATTTTACTCAATGATTTCTTCTTAGACTCACAGAATCATTTAGGTTGGAGAATATCTTTGAGATCATTGCGCCCAACTGCTATTATGCACTGAATATTTTCTAATTTAAAAATACAAAAGTAAAATTCCATAAAAACAAAAACTTGTAAAAAATCCCCCCCAAATAATAAAAAAAATGTACAAAATTACTCCCCCTTAAGACACGTGAGTCCAAACATCAAACATTCTGACACAGAACAATATTCCAGAATCTGGGGTTCCCAGAACTGAAGGGGAGCATCCTCTCCTGCATGACAACCAGCTGGCCCCTGCCCACACTGTGCCAGCCACAGCTCAGATTTCAGGGCAGGCTCAGCCCAAGCCCCAGCATCACACTCTTTTCCCAGCAGCTTCTGTAATCCCTTGGAGCCTCCATCTTCCAGTCTGCATTCCTCCAGGAGAGCCTTCCCCCACCTAAATCACCCACCTCCACCAGTGCCTCCCCAGCCCCTGCCCTGGAGTGTCAGAGCCAGTGCTCTTGCCCAATCACCTGGGCAATGCCCACTCCCAGATCCAGCCCCGTGCCCCTTGGCTTCATGCTTCCTCAAGCCTCTTGCTCTGCCATTCCTGGTAGTTCCCAGCCATTTTTTTTCCTCAGTCTGAGACCCCTTGTTACCTTCTTGTCCAATTCTTCATTTTCCTTCATTTTTCCCAGCACCCAGCCAGACTCCATATCCCAAATCCCCAGACTGAAGTTACAGTTCTGTCTTTGCCCAAAGCAGCCAACACACATGAAGGGCTGCAGGCTCCCAGCCAGCCCAGCAGCAAAGCAACTCCTGTGCTCACAGTGAGACCTTCTGCCTCAAGCCACCCAAAAAAAAGCATGAAAAACACAACAATGGTATTGGAATGGAAAGTGCTGGGCAGCCATAAATATATGAAGGGATAAAACCTGACTTCTTATATTCCTATCAAAATGTGTGTTTGAGTCTACTACTTCCATGCATTTCCTGCTCTTCTAGAACTTCCATGGTGCTTTCCAAAATCATGTAGGAATTTGTCCTAGGAAGTAAATTCATGCCTGAGTTTTATGTTGCCCCTTTATGCACTTCTTCAGAAGTTTGTGTATGATCTGTACCTGGTAAGATATTAATTCCTATCTATGCTTCCAGTGCTCCTATCTGACAGAGGTGTACAGCATTGCTGTGGAAAAACATGACAGTAAAAAAATTAACATAACTCAATCTGGGAAAATTCTAGTTCCACAGAAATTTATGCTTTTACATAAAATTGTTTCTATTGACACAAGTAAGTCACCACTGCTACACAGAATCAGATTTCCCAACTGTCTCAACTCTCAACAAGGAAAAAATCTACAATAATATCCCAGTTTATTCTAGCAATTTATGCTTACAACACTTAGATAAATTCCCACCTCTGGTTTCTCAGGCAAAGGCTCATTCTGCAGAACTTTCAGAGCTTTAGCAGCTGCATCATGCTTAGCAGCTTGTCTTGTTCTTCCCTTCCCATGAAACTGCTGCCCTCCAATTGAAAGCTCCACTTGATAAAGTAAAGGCCCAACAGGAAATGGGTAAAAGTACCTGCAAAGAGAGAGGGGAATCAGCAAATTATTTGGCCTGCAAAGGAAACAGACACCTAAGTCAGATGTGGGTCAATCTCGTGGATATCAGTAACCACACCAGCACTGAAGCACTAGTTTTAAAAAGCCAAATTTTGATTTAGAGCCTAAAAGAATTTAGTGAGGTACCTTTGAAACAAATATTGACGTTCCTTGCTTTACAACAGGAACACATTTCTGACCAGGTACTACACCAAGACAACATAACCGCACTTGTACGGACTTGGCAAGCCAGGGAATTTTGAATTTTAAGTTCCCATGCCTAAAAAAAATTCTTTAAACTGCAACTTTAATTTAAATAGTCTCAGAAGCAGCATCAACCTGTTTTCTTCACTTTTGCCTTTACAGAGAAAGGAAATGCAAGAAACATTTACCTAATATTTAGCTATATATTTAGCTATTTGCTTAACGAAGCTGGCTATACCTGAATACTCTCAAACACTTCACCTTTCAGTGCAGCTGCCTTGCCCCACCCCAAAGCAATGAAGCACTGGAAATAAGTTACAGATACTGGGGGTGGACTCCTCCAAGAGGTGAGTGCCCCTGCAGGTCCAGCCGGGTGCAGAGGGGCAGGTGCACCCCCAGCCAACACCTACCGTGGGGGGTAGGTGCCACCTCGCATGGTGTAGCTGTAGGTGGATCTCATCCCTGTGTAAGGGTCGATGGGTTTGTACATGGGCTTCTTCCCCAGCTTCATGCAAAGTGCATTCAACTCCACTGTGGGGGTTACACTGTCTACAGAAAAAGGAACAGAAAGGGTTGTTCAGCTGTCACAAGGAACTGAGACAATTTAAACTCTTATTGCTGGCTCACAGCAGGGAAAAATGAGCTCAACTTCTGCCACATGCAGCATCTTAAATGACTGAATTCCAAACAGAACTGCTAATGGACAAAAAGAGAATAAGTCTATATGATGCACATTAAAGCGTCCCAGTACAGCTGTGACAAATCCTGTTACAAAAAAGTGAATTTGCTGGGAGCTCTTATTGGATTTGTTTTGGAGGGTTTTATCATTTTGCTTTTAATTTCTGAAGCTGCTAATTTACCTACATTTACAGTGTATCTAACAAAGTGCAGAAGAAGAATTTTCTGCAGTGAAAAAATTTCTCCAAATATACTTTTAAGTTACCAGACATGCTGCATCCCTTCTGAGTCTCTTGCTTACTGAGAACAATCTAAGGTTTCTCTGTCCTCAATGACCTAGAAGGGTTTCTGTGACTCTTCACTTTCAAATTGCAACTGGCCTTGTCAAAAGGCAGGTAAATTGCTGCTGAGGGCTAAAACATTTCTCTCAGTGCTGGTATTGTGGGCATGAAGAACTGGCTCCCAGTCTGTTCTGACTGGACAAAGAACACTCAGTAAGTGTCATTTTTTCTACCACAGGTCTCACTGGCTCAGAAATCAGCTGTAATCCAGTACAAGAGGTCTGGTGTAAAGCAATTGCCAAAACAAAATGACCTATGGAACAGATGCACAGACAAAGTAAGTACTTGCTAGCTGACAACTGCCATTGCCAAACAGGCAGAATCACAGTTTTTATTCATTCTTATACAAGTTCAATACATACCAAAAGCAGAAAGGGGTATTCTCTGTGTGTATGGTTATTTTAGATCAGTTTGTTGTGGGATGTACCTGGATTCTTGCCTTCACTGCGAGATGGACGAGCCGTAGGTTTAGGGAATTTTGTCCCTTCCAAAGCTTTGGCAGCTGCTGCATGTTGCGCTTTTTTAATACTAGTTCCTTCAGCTTCCCAGTGCTGGTCCCCAAGAGTCAGCTGCACTGTAAACACCTCAAAACCACAAACAGGTATTTCGTAAAAAGCTTCTCCAGAATTTATGCAGTTTATCAGACCCTCTTACACAAAATGAGTCTTTCAGTGATGCACAAGTTGAGAATACAGTAATCCGAGCTCTCCTTAACTCCCACGTCATCTCCAGAGTTCCATCACTTTGGACATCAACAGGATTTTCCTAATTACTGAGCTAAGAATTTCACAACAATTGTAGCTGGCAAATATCCTGCATGAGATCTGACAGGTTAAAAACTCAGAGCAGCGTGGGGAGAGGTGACAGCCCCAGGAGAGCTGCTGTGCCCATGTCACTGAGCAGCAGACTGGAAACTCGCCCTTCTCTGTGACACGTAACTCCACTCTTGCTCCAATCCTCTAAAAGGTTTATTAAAGATATTTTGCAGCAGTTTGAAAAAGTTAAGTTCACAATGTACCATCTGTGGGCTTCTACATGCCCACAGATCAATGAAACACAATTGAACAGATGTTCTGAATGCTATTCCAACACTTTTTGTAAATGTTAACTCCTTCACACCTCGAAGCTCATGTGACATTTTTGGAACTCAACTTTTTGCTTCCCAGGTAGCAGCCTCACACTTCCCCACCACCGAGGCTGTGGGGGGCCTCCCTTTCCATTACTCTGGATTATCTAGCACCAAAATCACACACATTGTGATTTCTTCCCAGTCCTGAAGGTGCAGGAGAGGAGCAGCAGCAGTAAGGAACTGGGATGAACACTTACCTTAGAATGAGCTGGACCCTGCTCACTCAGAAGCTTATACTCAGGCTGAATCTTGTTGAAACGGGCTAATTCATTCACAAGACACATGGGGGTTTTCTCTTTGGGGTTTGCCATGTTTGAAGGAGCTGAAAGGTTACATAAGATCCAATAAATGAACTGGTAACTGTGAACTTTTCTATAAATTTTAATTAGAAAAAGAAATCTCAATGGCTTAGCATCTAGTTGTCTGCAGTGCTGGAACAGACAGCTTTGCTCACTGGCCAAACTGTAACAATCTTTTGAACTTTGGGTTTTCCAAGCAATGCTCATGCCTAAAAAGCACCATCATTAAATTCAAGGTTCTAATGCAAGCCAGAAGAATGAAGTTGGAAGACTCCTGCAAACAGCTCACATCTCATCTAGTACATGTCAAGGAACAAATCTCCCAAGTATTCCTCATTATTGTTGCTTTGAATAATTTCAAAAACTCAGTTAATTTCATTTCCCTTCTCCTATTTTTCCCCTATTAGCTATTTTTTATCACCCTTTATTTTTTCAGTTGCATTTTGATAGCATAATATATTTATCATTAAACTGGTCATAAAAGAACTAAAGATAACAGAACTAAACAAACTATTTCAAACAACACTTTTTCATATTTAAAACAAGCTACCGGTAGAACATTTCAAAAATTTAATGCAATACAATTAAAAATGTTCTTTACTATTACAAACATATCAATTAGTTGCTGGAACTTTATGTAAAAGTATGCTTCTACCTGTCCCCAACAGATTTCATTCCACAGGGAGCTACTGCAGTTGGATAAATATTACTTTTAAATTACATGTAGGTGCAAGACATCAGGAATATATCATGACAAACGATAAGCATTAAAAATACTGACCCTCTATCTTACCTGCAGCTGCATTGGTGGATGTAACTGAAGCAGAGGGCAAAGCAGAGTTCTGGATAGGCCTGCCTGCATTTTCAGAGGGCAAAGAACTGGTAGTAGAAGGAATACTCAAAGGCTGTGAAAGAGATGGGTTTTTATTCAGTATTTGGCTCCCTGCAAGGGCAGCAGAAGGGTTCTGAATCTGAACTTGAGACATGTTCACTTCCAACCAGAGCAGATGACTGCAGGCAAACAGCTTTGAACGCAGACCAACTCCACTTCTGGAAGCCGAATTGCTGACCTAAAATGCGAAGATGAAAAACAGATTATACTGAATATTTAGCATTCTCCAACAACCCACTGAAGCAATTCCTCCAGCGGCGCAGGGGGAGCAGAGCTCAGCCCAGCACCACGGTGCCTGCTCTGCCCAGTCCCTCACCCACACCCAGCCTGCACAGCAGCTCCACCGGGTTCCACACTTCCTTCGTTCACAGAAGAGTAGCACAGAAGCTTTATTTATGCTCATTCATTACTGCCCATCTCTTTTCCCCACGACTGAATCCACTCAGGAAGCAAATCCTGTTACTTACACCCAGAGCCACTGGTTACACACTGAACAGAGAGCAACTTCCACGGACAAATTACATTTCACGCATCCTACCATTTGAAATTAAACTTTTTCACTTAGAGGGCAAGAAATAAATACAGCCTTTACAAAAAAACTATTTAGAGAATACATCCTTTATTATTATCTGAGTTTTCCCCCAGGATCATCAAGAATGCCAAGCTGCTTATGAGGGGAAAAGGCAGGAAATGCTGGAGTGGCTCTGGCTGGGAAAAGCAAAGGTGAAAGAGTTCATGAACTGTATCAGCTACATGTGTTCTGAAGGTTACTTTGATTTAGGTCAGGGCATGTCTCAGGCACAGCTCAAGCAGCAATTCAGAGTCACTTGGCCCTGCAGCTCTGTAAACGAGGGTAGGAAGTGCTCCTGGGCACCTGTGGCTGTTTTACACCCCGTGCAGGACGTGCCCCAGCCCGTGCACTCACAGATCTCCCTGGGCTGACAAATTAGCATTAGACTTCTCTTACACATGGATGCAAAATTATCTCCATGTTCAGCCAGTGGAACCTAAATAGACACAAACAGGTCAGCTGTCCATATCCACTTACAAGCCACATATCAATTTATTTATTAGAAATCCATTTTACAGCCAAGTAAATCCATTTTACACACCAAGGCACTCACACATGCACACACACACCAGTCACCTACGGGTCTGATCAGGGCAGCAAACAAAGGTTTATTCTTTCCTAACTCATAGGTGAAAAGGAGAAATCACTGCTCCAGCTACCAGCAGAGGGCAATTAGCAGGAACACAACCCCACTAGTGCTCTGTGAGCTTCACATTCTGAACCTGTGAATGGATTTCCAAATGTGAGAGGAGCAGCAATGAGTCAGAGGGAACCTTTTAGCTAGTTACTGACAAAACAAGCCAAAGAGGAGAACCAACATTAATACATTCACGGACAGAAAGATTTCATTATCCATTAAATAAGAGGTAAGAAACTACTGGGAAACAACAGATACATCACCAAATTTACCATCTGGAGTCTTTTTACTCCAGAAAAAAAAAAAAAATCATAAACATGCCAGACTTATCATACTACCACCTGGATAACTTTGTTTTTACTAGAGAGCAAAAATAGTTCAGGTCTCATTAGTCCAGGAGACACATGCAGATTATACTCAAAACAAATCCTATATTTGACTGAATTTGCAGCAGTGACACACGGGGTGCATTGTAACTCTGAGAGTGGCATTCAAGGAGGTCTCATTAGTCCAGGAGACACATGCAGATTATACTCAAAACAAATCCTATATTTGACTGAATTTGCAGCAGTGACACACGGTTGTAACTCTGAGAGTGGCATTCAAGAATCTCTCCAAAGGACATTAAGAAATTGTAAGACAAAGAAGAAAAGTATTTAGAATAAGACTCCAGGGTAAAAACTTTACAATCACTAAGTTTCTTTCCCAAGAACATCACTAGAATCACTGAAAATTTTCAGATATAACACAACAATAGTAATTGCCTGGCAAAGACTACACCAAGTCTTGCAGATGAAGAAATGCAATGAAATCTTGCAAGCAGAAAAGCAAACATTCCTTTCCTGCTGAAGTGCAATGTCTTTCTAAGGAACTGAAGTTCCAGTTTTCAGTCACCCTTTTGAAGAGGACAACACCAAAAGTTGTTATTTTGATGTCAGAAACATCAGGATGCTTGAGATCATGCTGGAAAGGAAGCTTGATATTGCTGAAGCTTGATCATGACCCTTCCATTACCACTGACAAAGTGCCCAACACAGCTGCTTTTCCAAGCAGAATTTCCAGCCTGATCCAAGAATCTTCCTTGCTCTTTCCCCAACCCCAAGTGATGTTTCTCACCCAAGCAGTGGAACCTCACAATAGTGCTCTTTGCAGAATTACAAGGATCACTTGCCAATTTTCCTTCTGTAGTGAGGTTTCCAGTTCTTCCCTAGTGAAGCTCTTCTTCCTAAGAGCCCTAGAGATCAGCTCCCAAAATTAGACTCAGACCTTCATTCACAAAGCCAAACCAAAAGCAAGCCACAAACTGAGAAACCCTGGTAGTTATTAAAATGATATAAATTCTACCTTTTGGCTACATTTCCAATCTAGTGATTTCACTCACAAATAGGCTAAAACCATTTCAGAACAAAATCATTTCAGTGCTGCATATGAAACCTGTCGCTGCACGGACTGCTCTAAATGGAAATCAAAACCTATTTTATTCTGCTTACAAATATAGCACAAAGTGTTTAATCCTTCTTTTCCATGCCTAAGCCAACTGCATGCAGATGCCAGCAACATCATTCCCAGCCACAAAATGGGGGAGAGCCCAATCTTGGTCAGGGTTAGAAGAGGACAGAGCTCTTGAATTTACTTCAGACAGGCATTCCAAACTGTCAGGCTGACTCCCAGGACTGTGAGCAGCTCTCCTGGTGAACCAAGGAGGGTCAGAGCCTGAACCAGGCTGGCATCACACCCAGTGCTGCCCAACAGCACAGTGAAGAGGGAACACAAGAGGATCACAGTCAGCTCAACTCCTCTTCCACAGGGTTTTCTGGAGGCTAAACTAACCTCTGAAAAACAAGGAAATGCATCATATTTGCAGGCAGGGTCAAGACCAAGTTGCATAAAGACAACAGACTTTTCTCTCCCAGCCACTCCTGGTAGCCCTGCCAAGAATGAACCGCTGCAGCTCAGCAGAGCAGGCCCAAGGGGCTGTGCAGGCACTGCCCGCTGGTCAGCGTGGCACAGACACCACTGATGGGCACCAGCAGAGTGGAGGAGAGTCACAGCCAGCAGCACTGCCTAGCACGAGCTGGCGCTGCCAGGCTGCTTCAGAGCCCTCCCCACGCCGAGGGGCAGCAGGGAGAGCCAGCCCCAGCCAGGTCTGCAGCAGCCCTGCTCTGCACCAGACACTGAGCCCCCCGCTGCACCCACCTGGGGACCAGGCTCCAGCCACAGGCAGAGCACAAAAAGCCCAAAACATTCCCTTCAGAAAACGGCTGAAGGATCTGAACTTGTGTGTTCTGAACAGGAGAGGGCTGGCTGGGGTCTGAGACCCAGCAGCTCACGGACCCGAAAGGATTTTGGAGTGGCAAAGAACCATCTGTTCTTTCCGGTTAAAGTGACAGAACGAGAGGCAACGGGCTTAAAAAGCACCAAGAAAGGGTTCCTGGCAGTGTCCCTGAGGCACCCTGCTCTGGGGGCAGAGGGCTCCCCTGGCAGGGCACTGCCAGGCCGGGGGCACCCTGCTCTGCCAGGCTGCACCCCAGGCTGCTCACACTGCAGCCCAGGGACACAAGGGCCTGGCTGCTGCCACACAGCTCCTCACAGCCCTGCAGGTCTGACCCGCTCCCTGTGCCCCACCTGGGCACTCTGCTCCCCCACACCTGGCAGGGCAGCCTGGGAGCAGCACAAACACCAGGCACAACATCAACTACCCCGAGGCACAAAAATAAACATCCACAAACTCCAGCAGGTTTGTTCAGATGCTGTTACCTAAAACACCTTGGAAAAACCCACATTAGGGGCAGCTTTGTAACACACAGCATAAAACTCTCAAGCTGCTGCAACAGTGTGTAACAGCATCTATTTACAACTGGAAAGTCTCACTATAAATTGATAAACAACGACTAAATTTCACAGAATTAAGGCTATCTGCACAAAATGTAAAATACTAATTGAACAATGTTTTCTTCTTAGATAAATCTTCTGCAACATTTCTGAAACACAGGGTCCTTCCCAAAAGTAACACTGTAGAAAAAGAGGCTGCTCTTTTTGGTAAGGGCACAAACCCTAAATGTTATGCAAAGTAGTCTGGGAACCAAGGTATGGATTATTAATGAGAAGAAAAGCTAAAATTTGAAAGTAAAAGCTCAATGAACTACCAAACATACACATAAACAGACAGTTCCAAACAAAGCAAATTGATAAGCCAGGCAGTGATGTGATGAATAAACACTCATTGATACTTCTAGCTCAACCACTGCTGGGACAGAACAGTGCACGGATTTTGGCATCTCCCTGCAGTGGAACAGGTCACAGAAGCCAGGGACACTGCTGAGCCAACATGCCCAGACCTCCTGCACTGCCCTGGGGCATCTGCAGCACCTCCAGTGAAATGACCAGCCCTGGCAAGGAGCCTGGCCTCAGGAGCCAGGAAAAGGGCTTTGGGAACCTTCATCTGTCTCCAAAACAAAGCTGCTGCTCTTCAGGAAGACCTGAACGGCACAAAGCAATTTCCAGTTCTGCTCTGACTTTGTACAGTCATATCACTTCAAATTTATTTCAACCTATGAATAATTTTGCCACAAAACACATTTTGACTGACTGGTACTGATAGTGCAAAAATGATTCATGATGTTATGAGAAACTCTGAACAGAGGGGCTGCTTAAAATAACGACATAAAAAGGAATTGTTTCTTGCATGCATCTTTTTAGAACAGTTTGGAAATAAGTTTGTGACACAACTTCAGAAAATAGAAAATATAGTAACAAATTCAGCCCCTGGGCTTTTTACATTCTCGTCAAGATGTGACAGACCCTGAGTGAATCTGTAAAAGTCAGAACACACATCTGTTGCATGTATGAAATAATCAACAGACAAACCAGAAATCACTTTATTACACTGCAGCCACAGCTGCACAATCAGAACTCAAATTCTCACGTCCACTAGCATTAAAAAAAAAACAAACCCAAAACATTGCCTCCAGTTTGAGCAAGGGACCTGTGCAGCACACTAGCACGTTCTAGTTAGAAAAAAGAAGATTTTACAAAGATACCTCTGCAAAAGCAGACCACAGACTGCGTTCAGCTATTGTGGTTCAGTGCCATGTGTGCACACGCACACGCAGCCCTGACTGACATGCGAGGGACGCTGCTCCCGGCTTTCCCTAACCCCGCTGCAAGGGCAGCCCCGCGAGCGCGGCAGGCGGGGCAGCGTCCGTGCCGGGCGGGGCAGGCCGGGGCTCGGCGAGCCCCGAACGGGACTTGTTGCTTCACATCCCGGGAAAAACGAGCGCCCTGCTCAGGCGGCAGGGAGGCGATGCTGGGGCAGCGCCGGTGGGAGCGGGGCCGCGGCCGGGCTGTCGGTCGGGCCGTGCCAGGAGCGGCGGGCCCGGGCCGCCCGCGCCCCCTCACCTGCGCTGGGCTCGGCTCCGGGCCGGGGCGGGCGGGGGTCGCTCAGTCCATGGGCCGGGCGGGACCGGCGGGGCGGCACAGGGCAAACACCAAAGAGAATGAGCGGGGCGGCGCGGCCCGCCGGAACTGACGGCACCGCGCCGGGGACGGGGCGTCCGCTCAGCCAATCGGCAGCGAGCGAGCCCCCAGAGACACCGCCCCTCGCCGCGCCTCTGACCAATGAGCGCGCAGCCCTGCAGGGAGCGCCGCCTCCTCCGCGGCGACTACGAATCCCAGCGTGCTCCGCGGGAGCCGCAGAGCGGGAAACTACAGCTCCCGGCGTGCCCCGCGCGGGGCCGGGGCCGGCTGTGCAGCAGCGTCCGCCGTCGCTTCCGGTCCCGCCTGGTCCGTTCCCGCGGCCCGGCCCCGGCCGTTCCGCTCCGAGCGGGCCGTGCGCCGGGGCAGGCGTGGGGCGCGCGCCCAGCGGGAGGGAGCGCGGGCGGCCATTTCACCAAAATGTCGCGTTCCAAAACACGCGTGGGAAGGAAAAGCGAAAGGCGCACAAGGAACGCCGGGAGTCACAGCGCCGCCGGAGCCCGCGCACACACCCGGCCCAGCAGGCGCCGCCAGCCCCGGCTCACAGCTGCACACAGCTGGGCACACAGCTGCACACACACTCACACAGCTGCACACACACAGCTGCACACACAGAGCTGCACACACAGCTGCACACACACACACAGCTGCACACACACACAGCTGCACACAGCTGCACACACACACAGCTGCACACACACACACTCACACAGCTGCACTCACACACAGCTGCACACAGCTGCACACAGCTGCACACGGCTGGCCGGAGCACACCCAGGGCGCTCCGGGCCTCGAGCTGTGCGGGTGAATCCCGGCCGGGGCCCGGTGCCCGAGCACGCACACACGGGCACAGCGGCAGCTGCTCACCCCGCGAGCCGGCAGCGGCGGCAGCGGCAGGGGCAGCAGCGGCAGGGGCAGCAGCAGCAGCAGCACCAGAAGCAGCAGCGGCAGAAGCAGCGGCAGCGGCAGGGGCAGCACCAGAAGCAGCAGCGGCAGAAGCAGCGGCGGCAGGGGCAGGGGCAGCAGAAGCAGCAGCAGCCGAGGCGCTGCCCTCGGGGCTCCAGGCCCCAGAGCTCCTCAGTTCCGTCCTGAGGAGTCACGGAGAGCACCCGCCGGACACCTCCCGGGTCACGGCTTTGAGCAGGAAAACCGCCCTGGAGCCTGATCCCTGCTCCCGGGGCACAGCTGCCTGTTCCACAGCCCCTGTGCCTCCTGCTGAGCAGCCTGAGTGGAAACAGCTCTGCTCTTCTCCCCCAGTGTCAGATGTGCTCTGTACGACCCTACAATGCACCTACACCGTTATGGAAAGAAAAACCCTCAGTCCCACTATTCCACATGCTATCCTACGTGTAAAACATCTTTTTTTAAAACAACGATATTCTTCTGAAAGAGTAAGAGCACAGTGACAGGCATTTTAAACAAGTACTTCTTATTTATTCACAATTCAGATAAAGTTTAAGGAAAGACAAAAGAAATACAAAGGACAACATTAAAATGAAAAGGAATTTTAGTGACTGAAGTGAGTTTCTACAGCCAGGGCTCTCCACACGTTTCCAAGTATTATCCAAACACTGCAGATGCAGATTTCAAACCAAGCCCGTAACAAACCGCTATGACTATTCCCTTTGACATTAAACTGGGAATGGAAGTTAGCCACCTTTATCTGTGAGTACACAAACCATCAAATCCTTCAGTTTCAGCTCAAAGCCACACCTATCTTTTACAAGATGGAATCTGCAATACAATTTCAAGCAGCTTTTTCGTTTTGTCCGAGCTCTGCTATGGCCGAGTCAGTGTCGACGTCCTGCACAGCAAAGCAGCTTTTGAGCTTGCTGTGGAGTCTTGCAGCTCAGAGCAGACTCACGCTGGCAGCCTGGAGGTATCCCTGGAGATACTGCAAGGCTTCTGCGTTCAGGCTGGTGCTCAGCATGGACAGGACCTGCAGCACAGGGGAGCAGAGGTGTCAGTGGGTGAAACACGAGCCCCTGCTGCGCAGGGCCAGGCACGGAGCAGCAGTTACCCAGGGGAAAGCAGCAGGCAGTCTTACCCAAATTCTGGGGAAAACTTACCCAAATTCTGGGGAAAACAAACAGGCTATGGCCTACAAGAGTTAACTGTACACTCACCCTAATTTTGTATGAGCTGCCTGAATTCAACAAGAGCATGCAACCAACCAAACCCGAGACACATATTAGTTATAGACCATCAAGTGTGTAAATTTTCTTTTTTAAAATGGCATATTTAAACTTGTTGCAAAATTATGTGCTGTGAAAATAAAGCCTTTCTAAGGCTCCTAAGGAAAAACCTTACAAAAGCTGTATTTCAGTGAAGAATAAAACACAGCACGATCTTGCTGTCTAGTTATGACCTACTTCATTTTGCTGATTATCCACAGAGATTTTGTTATTAGCAAAGGGAGGCATTCTCAGGAAGGTGTCTCTTCTCTGCAGAATGCAGCATCACCATGCAAGTGCACAAGTCACCTACCCTGCCTGGGCACGCTGTGGACAGTTTGTGGAGAGACTGTGCCAGATGGATTCTAGGATTGTTCACCATCTGACCTACAGGATCGTGTTCTTTCTTCCCAGCAAAGGCTAGCTGGGAGAATGCAGTCTGGTAGCCTGGAGTATCCTCTATGTCAATGAAGTGCTCCTCGTCAGGGATCGTGTCATCCTCAGGCAGCTCAAAGAGGCCAATGAGGGCCTGCAGCAAAGGAATCCTGGCAGCAAAGGGGGAGGGCAGAGGTGCAGAGCTTAGAGTATGTTAGGTCAGGCTGTATTTTACAAGAACACTCAGGTTATTTGGAGCCCCTTACACTTTAGCCTTTGCAGGTACTGGCTTGGCTACTGAAATTGTAAATGCCCAAGGTATGCTGGAGCAGAACTGTGGGTCTGAATATTTTACAGGCATAACTCCTATCAACAGCATGAGCAGTGTGTGTGTTTACAGGTCAAACTGGCATGAAACATACCTAAAAAGAGAAGTCATTTTCCAAATCACAACTTTCCTCTGAGTACTTTAAAAACAAAGTTCTAGTCTGGGGATCTAGTCTGGGATCCAGTGATTGTCACCAAATTCAAACTACCAGGCATGCTGGACTGGTTGACAATCAAACTCCCCTGGTAGCTTTCCCCAAAATTCCACTCTCATGCTGAGATATTAGTTTCTCTGCCAGGTTATGAATATGTTTAGATCTCCTGACTAGAACAGCTGTAAGTCAAAATTGAACCTAGCTTTTCAGAAAGAATTCAAAGCAGTGTATTTCCCTAAATGGATTTCCTAAAATGTATTTCCCTATTTTCCCTAAAGGTCCAGCTAGCCAAACCCATGCTATCTCCATCAAGAACATCTCAAGCCAGTTCTGTCATCCTCTCTGAAAATACAGTTTCATTTGCTGAAAAACAGGAGCAGGATGAAAGCCCTAAAACAGCCTTGTGGGTCTGAGGAGATCACAGTGGAGTTTCCAACAAGAATGTGTTTTGGTCTGAGCTCCCATTTTCAGTAACTCCAACAGCCTCACCAGCACACCCTGAAGAAGTGTGGTACCTACCACAGTTTGGTGTACTCAGTGTCCATCATGGGAGGACATTCTGTTAATATTTTGGTAATGCCAACAGCACAGATTTTCTTTTCAACTTGTCCCGACACTTTCTGGATTTCAGGAATTATAATTTTCTCCAACACCATTCCAAACATCCTATGGTGGCATTGAGAGAAAAAGTATTAGAAAGTCTCATTTCCTTATGGTGACAAAAGAGAACCAGAAACAGTATGAGTCACTAGGGAACAGAAACAACCAGATAATTTGTTAAGATGCTGCCCTGTTGCAGTAGACATTTGCACATACAAACTTTTCACAAAGGATAATGACTAAAAACATCAGTCTTTCCTTTTTATAATCTTCTTAAATTAGAAACTTGGATTATCAGTGAGGAACTGTGGTCAGAAATTCAGAAAAAAAGAAGACTTTCTAGACAAATAAATGAACCACACTGAGAGAAACATTTGGCCAGTCAAATTAGTGATAAATGTAGTTTGACAGCCTAGCTAAACAGACAACTCTTTCTTACTTCAATAGATAAAAATAACACAGCCATATTAAATATAACCCAAACAAACAAAACATACTAACTTTGGCTGTATGCTGTCAAATATTTCTTGCAGAGCTAATGCCCCATATCTTACACAATACAAGTTAATGAAGACAAGGAAACCTGTAACAAAAAAAAAGTCAAAGTAAAATTTAAGGTGAAAACAAAAGAACAGCTTCAGAGTCAGCAGCAAACTGCATTCCAAGTTTTTCAAGGGGATAGAAATGGCAGTCTATGTGTGTTCAGTTTAAACGAAGTACTTGAACTTGCTGCCTTGAAATTTGCACAAAAACTGATCTTTTCACATACCACAACACAAAACGGGTACAACAAGACAAGTTATTCCTTTTTCCCCTTACAGCAGTTATAAAAAGGCATTAGAAAAGTCATTTGCAATTTTTTTCAGATCAGGAACCAAAGAAACTCTTCCAAAAACTGTACTTTTGGCAGAAAGCTCCACACAATGCAGACTCTGAGGTGAGGTATGAACCCCCACAGGTGCAGTATATTAAAAGCACCACTTCAACTTTATTTGTGGAAGACAAATATAAGCAACTTTATCATTCCTGGTCCTATCAGGTGGCATTAACCAGATTTTATAGGGCTAAGTAATGGACACTGCATAATTTGGTAGCAATAGCATCATTAAAATAATTTAATAACTACGACAATCTTCTCATGACAGCACGAATAACCAGAATATGTACTGCAATAACCTGTCACAGCTTTGCCAGTTTAACATCACACCTTACCAATAAGTTTAGTCATACTGAGACCCAAATGGCACAAGCATGGGATATTCCACAGCACTAACACACAGCTACAGTAACTACAGCACGTGTGGTCAGTGCTGCTGAGAGGGGAAGTTTGCTGCTCTGGCTTGGAGAGTCAATGGAGACATTTTCAATAATGACATCACACACTAGGAAGGGAAGAGAAATATGCAAGTCTTGCTCATTATTTGA